TGCGTCTTGTTGTCAGAGCCAGGCATTTGGAAGCCTTGGTCATTTGGAACGACTGTCCAGACGCTTGCCCCGGCCATATCAAGAGCAACATCTTCCGAAATTTTCGGCTGCTGTCCCTGGTACTCCACTGGAACAGCCGGCAAATCGGGAACAAAGGATGTTCTTCTGACAGTCTTGTGTCTGGTGACTGATCCAGGCGATGTCGCGCCGTAAGAACTTTGCGACAGAGTTTTCACACTCACAGGAGAGATCAAAGGGAGGTTTGGCGTGGAAACGATGGTAAACTCATCCTGGGTAGGGAGCGCAGAAATGCCCAAGAGCTCGGACGCGGAAGCCGTAGATTTGCGTGGAATTGGTCTCGGCCGATGAATCATTGATTTCCGGGATGGAGACTCGACCTCCTCTTCTGGTGCAGGAACAACCAAAAGAGTGGCGCTCTCCGCATTGTTGAAGAACATGATTTGCTGATCTTCAGACTTGCTTCGTTGGTTGGTGAACATCCGAGTCGCTCGGGCCCTTGGATTATGCGGCAGTCCTACTGTTGCCCTCCTCTGGAGAGGAGTCTTTGTCTCCTTCACTTCTTCTTTTTCCACCGTGGGCGACGGAGGCGCACGTCGAGAGGGTCGGATGTTGTTCTTGACGGAATTGCTTCGAGGTAGAGATGCCGTTCGAGGATCTACCCAATACCCATCGACAGGTGGCGGGGGCGGTGGAAGTGTTTGACGAGGCAGAGGCACTGTCTTTGCCGACTTCTGCTCCTGGGGACTAAACATTGACGACGTGATCCGTGCAGTCATGGGATCCATAGTACTGACGCTAAAGCGAGAAACGGCGGGCAATGCATTAATGTCTTTGGTGGTTCTTGACTGCAATGGCTTGATAGGAGGCGGCCTCTTGATAGATCTTGGCGGTGGTACCAGCACTGTTGTCGCAGCTTGGAGGGGAGCTGATTTAGGCGTTCGGGCCTCATCCTTTGCTGGGATCATTGGCGGAGAAGGAGAGGGACCATCGCCTTGATATGGCTGTCGAGGGGATCGTCTCCTTGTTTCCTCCATAGCAGGGGAGAGCTGCACGGCTGAGGTCATGGCAACTGAGGGCTCTTCGACAGAAAGGAGGTTTCGACTGTTCTTCGGGGATGTAGACTGAGGGACCGGTTTCCGCTTAGATGTCTGCACCTTATCCATGATTTCTCCAGTAGATAGAGCTCCATCCAGCGCTGCATCGATATTTGAAAAGGGAAGAGGTCTCATCTCGCGGCGCTCTCGCTCCATCATGGCAGCAGTGGCCAGGTCGATGGTCGGAATGTGGTCGAAGGTGTTCGGCTCGGTGCCTGCCGGCACAATCGGTTTCGAAATGACAACTTTGCCTCCGTTGAAAGCCTTATCTGACATTTGCTTCTTGTGGTGCACTCTGGGAGCTGCAACCTGGGCTCGCATTGGGGGGAACAACTCACCCTCAACAGGAAGCCCGCCCATACCCCTGGCAGCTTGGCCGGTTTCTGGCTGGCTGATGGTGGGCAGAACGCCGGCTACTCTTGTCGTAACATTTTGCGGGGGGAAAGCCTGTGCCTGAAAGCCTCGTGTTGGTTCCTCGATATGGGTCGTGGACTCGAATGACACGGTTTTCTGAATCTGTAGAGTAGAAGCCGATGGCGACGAGACGAAATTCTTCATGGAAAGGGCAACAACGCCTATCTGGATGTGAGTATATATGCTTGGGGCTTACATCGTTGTCACATACCAATTAGAATTAAAAGCCCAATAGCAGGCATAATTGTTCGGACAGCGAAGCCAGATGACTTGAGCCCGAGGAAAAGAGGAATACTCAACTATAGTTGCTACAGTTAGCTCTTTCTTTTTTCTTGACAAACTCCAGTATCAGAACCACTCACTCCAGTCCAGATGCCAAGTCCGGCAGTAACAAAGATCAAGGCGTTGGTCCGAAACAGCTCTGGCCTGATGGCATTGCTCTTCTTCTCAAGAACAACCTTGGTCGAGAGAGCCACAACCATGGCAACGTCAGTCACCATGACGATGACACCAATGGGGAGAACCAGGTTGCTGGCAACACAAACGGGTTCGAACTGAGGACGTTGGACTCCCACAAAAATGGCGCCGAGAATAAATCTCACGAGCAGAGCTCCCTGCATAGCAAGGGACAACTTGGTGACCTTGATACCACCATTAACTGCCCATAGCAAGAACTGTTCCGCCGAAACGCGAGCGACTTGATCGAAAACGGCGGCAAATGAGATGACGGTCTGACATGCTGGGGCAGAATTGTCGCGGACGAGCGTGGAGGCGAGATCGAATATTCCCCATAGTGTCGAAGCCGCCAGGAAGAACGAGAGGGCCAGCCTCAGCTCGGCTCGAATAAGAGGCGATTTACTGGCTTTGACAAAGAAAAATATGGCCGCAGAGGCGGCTAGGACAACAAGACCACTGAGTTTCGCAAGATCTACATGTTAGCACATGGCGATTCCTCCCCGTCCTCGCAAGTCGAATCAACCATCGGGGTGACGAACAAAACGAAAGTCGCGACCAAAGCCGGGGCGCTGCTGGATCCGGCCATTGCAGCGGTACCAGATGGTGGTTGAATTAAACGGTCGAAAAGAAGCAGAAGACCCAGTCAATGGGCTACGAGGAACGGCTTAAAGAGAGAAAGGGGGTGGAAAGAAGCGAAGGGGAAAAGAAAGGTATCAGCACAAGAACAAAACTAAACCATAGCGAAGGTCCGGCAACTCCTCACAAACTCCAATGAGACGCGAAAATCTCCAGCGCAGCAGAGAAAATCGTGAGTTGGGAAAAAAGAAGGAGAAGAGAAAGAAGCCCAAAACAAGGCGCCATACAAACGACTACGGTATCTTGAAATCTGGGGCGGATCCGTAGAGACTGGGGGGGGCAACGACAAGATGCGACGCCATGGCCAGTTGAGCAAAAGCTACTCCGTGCTCGTACAGGCCAATTTTCTCCCTTCTCACTTGAGCTGCCAAGAACTGCAAACATCAAACTTGGCACACGGCAGCAGTCGGACTCAGAAGACGCAGAAGCTGGATTGGGCTAAGACGAGGAGTCTCCGGGGGTGGTGCTGTTTCACTTGAAACCTCCAACGTCGGGAGACGCGCATGGGGTCACGATGTTACGAGACGCAGGCCTTGTTCTAGCGGGCAAAACGAAACGACGGGGCAGGCAAGCGGCTGCTGGCACATGATGGGCCCCCGAAGCGAGGGCGACGAAGAAGAGGGTTTGTCGCATTTCTTCTTCTTTTTTGTCTTGATGTTCTGGAGTCTGCCATCTGGTGTTTCGATTGACGCTGTTGATGCAGAGGCGCCACGATGGAGGCGCTTTCCAGCAGCGGCGGTGGAGCGGCAAAGATTAGATCTCAATGCACGGAGATCTGCAGCGCAGTCCGGACCTGGCTTAGATAACACGAGATTAAGCACATAATGCGCCGCTCGGCTAGGAAATGAATGGCAAAGGCCGGAAGACGGGGGAGAACTGGGAATATCAATGAACCTGGAAGGTTTTTGCAACTAGGGGTCAGCCCCCTGTAAACAGCAGTTGTAGAGGCGAGCAGCCACAGGGCTTATACGGCAGCACCGCCACAGGCAGCAAACGGCTGGGAACTCGAGTTACATTTGGGTTCAAGGTTGTTTGTTTGGTTAAAGAATTCGGATGTCCGTCCCGAGGCTGCGGCTTTGCGCCTTGGATCTGCACTTTGCATGAGTCCTTTGCGTCGGTGTGCAAAAGTGGCGAGTGGGCGGTCTGGCATCAACCCGACACAGCTTTCGAGGATTACAGTATATTTTCGTCGTAAGATGTACTTACATGCAATGATGCCAAATAACAGGTACCTACCATCTCAAAGTGAATGGACAAACCTCAAACCTCACCATTGATCGATGCACTTAACATACATGTAACCAGTGATTATAGATCTGGATATCTTAAACACCATGGCAATCATCTCAACAATCAGCCGCTTCATCATAGTACCAATCCAAACCTATCCAAATTACATTTTCATCACCCATCATACAAAAGTCCAGACTCACATCCAATCTCGATCCCTTCAGTCAATCCACCACCGCCTCCTCCTCACTAATGCCCGACAACAAGCAACGCCCCTAAAGCAGACATCTGATTAACGAATCCTCTAACTCCTCTCAGCAGTAGTACGTTCTCCAATTATTAGCTAAAAACAAACACAACACCAGATGACAAGAACGCCATTAGTGTTGCACAACCAAGTCTCGTCTAATCTTTTACCCGCCACAAATCATGTTCACTTAGACCAAAATCAACACTATTCCATGCATGCAGATAAACTCCCGTCGTCAACCAATCCAACTCAGGCCGGGCCGGTCATCTCCAAGTTGTACCCCACGCCGGCCCGGTCGCCTCTCTCCTCCTCCCCAATGCAAAGATGCAAGAGTGCCTCAACCCGCATGTAACATTCCCTACATCATCTTATACATCTACCTAGTATACATTTCATATTCCTCTTAGTTGCTTTCAAACCACTACTCCCCTCCCCACACTTCCCTTCAAAAGGGCAATTCCGCCCACATCGCATCTAGACGTGCATACCCAACTAAAGCAAGATAGAAGAAGCCCTCCCGCCGCTACCCGATCGAAGAAACGCCAACCAATTGACATCTTCCAGTAAGTAATCAGACAGATTCCGGCCCCGGAGGCGGCTTTTGCATTCGCCTTGCGTCTACGCGGAGAGCCCACATTGCCGCTTTAGGGCAATAAGGTTCACATCGTGAATCCTGATGCTCCTCGCCGAAGAGTCACGCTTGCTTTGTTTCTCTACTTGACTCACTCGTCGTGATATCAAAGATAGTACCTTGTTTGTTTAATATATAAGCCCGCCCAGCTACCATAGTGTCTGCCCCCTCGTTCTCATAAGTCATCAGCCAGTACCACAGATAGACAGCCTCGTCTTCACAACACCGACTTACACAAACAAACAACACACATCACACATCACCAACCATGGGCCGCCACACGCTAGAATACCCCAAAACAAAGGACAACACCGTCCGCCGCCACAACGAGCGCGCAATCTACGCCCTCGAGACCATCCACTCCCTCATCAACTCCTCCCAGCTCCTCGACGTCTCCTTCAACCCCCCAGACTCCCCCTTCCCCGTCATCCTCCCCATGATCGGCCACATGGGCTCCTTCGACCGCCCCAGCGCTGACCTCGGAGACCCCCTGGACCTCTACCTCCACGGCTACGTCTCCTCCCGCATGATGAATATCGCCCGCGCCACCAACAAGGACCAGGACAAGGACAAACTCGAGGGTGATGAGCAGCAGCAGCAAGGCCTCCCCGTCTGCGTCGCCGCCTCCCACGTCGATGCCCTCATCCTCGCCACCTCCGCCTTCAACCACTCCTACAACTACCGCTCCGTCGTCCTCTTCGGCCACGCCACCCTCGTCGACGACGACGCCGAAAAGACGTACGCCATGGAGCTCATCACAAACGGCGTCGTCCCCGACCGCTGGAAGTCCTCCCGCCAGCCCCCCACAAAGGCCGAGATGCAGAGCACCAGCATCCTCAAGGTCAGGATCGCCTCCGGCAGCGCAAAGTTCCGCGACGGCGGCGTCTCCGACGACAAGCACGACCTGCAGAACGAGGAGGCCCAGAATTCCGTCTGGACGGGCGTGGTGCCAGTCTTCTCCAGCCTGGGAGAGCCGGTGTCGACAACTTATAACAAGGTCGATGTTCCGGCCAACGTAACTGATTTCATCAAGGACTATAACAATGAGAATAAGGAGTATGTTCTTTCGGCTATCAAGAAATAGATCAAAAACGGGCTCGGAGTTTGCTTTCTATGTCTATATTACATGCGAGGTATTGAGTATGCAAGATGGGGAATCTTAACAGAGATACAAGGAGAACAAACGTATACAGCGAAATATTCAAAGATGAAACTCATATCTACCACCTTTCCCAAAAGGCAGCCGGAAGGCTGCTCCTCATGACCGCCCAGTGGCCAGCTGCGTTGGCATACTGTCCTTCCTTGACCTTGTCTGTCCCGTTTCTGAACAGGAAGCCCTCTTCGTCTTTGCCATTGGAGAACACATCTCCGGGTAAAACTTCATTTCGAGGTGTCAAGAAGTTCTGCCTGGAAGGACTGTTAAGGTAGTCTTCTTTCACCGGGCCACGGAACGTCAGTGCCCCTGTGGCTTTGCGACAAAAGATGACCATGTTGGTAAAGTCCGAACCCGTCTCAGCAATAGCTTTGTCGTCAGGTAGATTCTCCCGAAATATACGACAGGTTGGAAAGTTTTGCAGTATGGTCCGCACGATGGCCTTGGGAGTTGGCGACCTTAGATCGCCTGCATAGTTCTATTCTCTAGATTAGCCAACTCATGTGTTCGAAAAGGGTCCAGCAAAAGATACGCACAATAGCAATAACTCCATCGGGCTTCAGCAGAGTGTAGAGGTTCTGGAAGAATTCAAATGTGAATAAATCAACAGGCTCTACACCTCCCGTAAAGACATCATGAAGAATATAGTCATAGACATCCCCGGTTTCGTTGGCGACCCTGTTGGTGTACTTGACCGCGTCTTCGATAACCGCCGGGTGATTCTCTCTGAGCTGGAAATACTTTTGAGCGAATTCGTAGACAACAGGGTCAATCTCCACAACGGTGGTCTCAATTCCATGAGACACGAGTGCAGACGGCGCAGTACCAATGCCCATACCACTAGCAATGAATACAAGTCTTAGTGAGTGAACCTTGTAGCCATGAGACAGATGAAGCGACACTTACATGACCAGGGCCTGAGCCTCAGCATCCGCAACCGGCACCTCTCTCTCAACTAGACGCACTGCTTCTAGCATAACAAAAATGGCGTAGATGGGCTCCGTTACTTGATTGCCACGCCAGTCCGCCCAATCGCCTCCCAGAAGGCTATGATCAGCTCGCAAGACTCGCATCTTGCTCCGCGTCTGCTCAACCACCGATATATATCCTGTAACAGACTCCCGCCTGTCCAAAATCATCCAGTTATCAGCCAACATGGTGGTATTCAACAACGCCATTGCAGTTGGTGTATCCACGTGAGGATTGAACATGGCCGTATGCACCAATGCCGGTATTGCAAGGGCCAGATACTTGGAGGGTGCAAACACCGTATACGATCCAGCCAGCAGCATCTCCAAGCCCATCCTCGTATACCAAAACATTGTCCCAACGTGCTTTTGCAGGAGTTTCTCAGCAACATGCTCCACTAGCTTGAACGTTCCCCAAGATCCAACACCAGGGACAGCTTCCCCCAGGACCTTGGGCATCGAGCTCAGATCCACACCCTCCAGGTTGTCCGCAACAGAAGCAGCCGTTAGAATCGCCATCGGGACCAAAGTGACTCCCTCAGTAACGAGAGGTCCATAATTGGGCCCCAGAGTCTGGCTAAATCGATACAAGAAGCACTGCATCACAGGCACATAAAGCGCCACCAACGGAAGAAGCTGCTCCGTCGATATGGGGAGCACCTGGCGAAACGCCAGGTTACCCGCCCAACCAACGAAGCAGCCAGCCATCAATGCCTTGGAATGCCATGCCGCCGCCGGCACGGAGCCATAGACGGGCGACAGCGCAAGCTGCGATGCATTCGAGTACACGCCCAGCAAGGTCAGCAGCACCAGCGTCTTGACGTAGAGCACCACCTGGCCAAGCACGCGGTTGCTCCACGTGTCATTCTTGGCCTTAGATGCCAGATCCTTCAGCTCCCGCTCAAACCTCTCCGGCGTAAATCCCATGGATGTGTCCGCGGCATTGTCCCGAGTTGCTTTCTTTTGGCGCGCCATGTTTGGCCAGATATAGAGAAACAGAAGCTCGGTAACGAACAGGTAGTAAGAATAAAGAATGAGAAACGAAAGAAAAAGACGAAAATATGCCAAGCAACCCGGCTTCAGACGACCTGCATCTGAAGAATAATCGAATAATACTGAGCGGCGCAACAAAGGTTTACGTTTCAATTGATCCCACCTGCCTCATGCAAAACATCTTGAGAACAAGGAGGTGCTTGGCGCTGTGGCGGTGCACATCGAATGACTTGACAGCACGCATGCAACTGTGGCGCAAACGTTGCCCTACCTGTTTGGGACATGGAGCAGCTCCGCTATAAGCACCAGGGCAACCCACGAGAGATCTCGGAGATATATAGAAGCAAGTGCTAAGTTTGAGCTTAATTATACCTCTGCCTTATTGCCCGGTTATAAAATGATCCCAATGCTCTGAATAATCATTTTCCAGCATGTCAAGTAGAAAGCACATCAGATTGGGGGTCAATAGCACAAATGTCACGTCATCTTCCAAACAGGTGAGCACGCCATATTCGCATAAAATTGAAAGAAAAATATGCCATCGTTAGACTATCAATCACCCAGCTACCTCGTCCATCAGATTGCTTCGTCCTAGCTTTGCAAAATCCATTCCATCACCTTGCCTTAAAACGCCTTGTGTAAACACGTTCGGATCCCCGCTGGCCTCCGAGCGGGTATCTCCTCTACTGGCCTCCGCCCATGACATTATGCCGAAATAAACTTGCGAGGAAAACGAAAGAATACGAGAAGAAGAAGAAAAATGCAAAGTATAAAACGGGGTTGGTAAGAAGAAGAGAACCATCGAACGTAAAGTCATCAAACTCCTCTATCGCGTCAGTGTGGGGAGGAAATGCAACACTAATACCAGAAGTGCCCACACACGACTGATGCCAAAAAATCATTCACTCGTTTCCAAATCGCATATTCCAAGCCGAAGAAATAGAAAGGGAAAAGAAAACAACAAATAGAGAGAGCAAAGAACGCAGGGAATTCGAAGATATATGCAAACTTGGCGCAACACCTCTTCCGCCTTCTTTACATCGGCGTTGCATAATCGTCATCTCCCATGCCCTCGTCGCTGCTCTCTGATTCACTAAGAGGGCTCTGGGCGTTACTGACGTCTGTGCTGGGCAAGTTGCTGAAGCTGCCCAAGATGTTGACTCCGCCAGAATAGGAACTGGGCATAGACATGGCAGAGAAGTCTGCCATGCTGCCGGTGCGACTCATGGATGGCTTTTCCGGAAGTTGCTTCAAAAGGCCGGTGGAAATATCCAACATGGTCATGGCAAATTCCGTCAACCCCTTGCTCTGGCCCGGCTTGCAACTGACCGACAACGTCCAGCGATATTCACCGAGTCGACGCCTATACCACTCCGCCTCTTCACGGCCGGGCGATGTCGCCCACAGCAAAGATCCGAACGTTCCGATGAGGGCAAAGTTGGTTTTCGAGGCGAAATACCAAAACGACTGAATGTGATTCGACATCAGTCGGTTGACAAAATCCATGGCGGAAATCAGGCGAGCCTTGGCGGCACTGCGGCAGATGTGCTGCACGTAGGAGTCGACCGACGATGTGTTGGATGCCAGCGACCGAATGATGCGTCTATGGAGGGTGATTTCGGTTGCAAAGTATCCCAAATGAAGATAACCAATACACGACAGCCTCGACGACATTTTGCTTGCTGAGTACGAATCCAGCCGAATATTGGTGGGCAGCCCGCTATACCACTCTTTGAGCCTAAGCTGGATAGGTTTCGCTAATGAAAGGACCAGCTGTGTTCCTCCGGAGCCCGCGTTGGAGACGGTCTGCATGGCTTGCAGAGTATAAAAGGTGTCGAGGATCACGGAAAGAATCTCGGACAACTGCACGAACCGTGTAAAGACAAGGCGGCCCTTTTCTATGTCCTGGCGCTCCTCCTGGTCGTTCTCATCCCATTCGACATCGGGAAAGTCGTTGGCACGCAACGGCCGGACGGCCCAGTTCGAAGGGAAAATATGAGAGGGCCTCCCGTGGACGAGAGCACCCCATTTATCTTGCATGTACAGGGCCCAAGCCAGGCGCCTTCGCAGCCCCTTTTCCCACGGTGGGATTTTCCATCCCGAGCAGTCCAGGTGGAGGCCAAGCTCTTGAGCAATGGCGACCAACTGCGCAGTCGGAGCCCACTGATCGCCCTCGGGTCGCTGAGACAGAAGCAGACCGGCTTGGACTGTCGACAGTTTCGGTCGGTACATGGCATCTTCGAGGGTGGTGCGGACGAGCCTTTCTAATTCACGCACGTCGGGGCGGGGAAGCTTGGACAGTTCGTCGTGGTGATCCCACCAGTTGATGGCGAGGATATAGACGGCGGCGAGGATGGGTGGTGAGAACTCGCGATAGGATCGTTCATACTTTTCCATGAAGACGGTCTTCTGGATGATGGGCATTCCGGGGTGGACGACTCGGAAATACAGGTCGATGAGCGTGCGGCCATGGGGGGCCACGATGGCCTCGATGGCGTCCAGATCCTCGATTACATGGTCGTAGCCGGGCGTGCTGTGGTCCGGCAGCATGAGGAAGGTGTCTGAGTCGCTGACCTTGCGGAGGGTGCCGCGGGCAAGGAGGCTCTCGTCATGCGTGTCAAAGGGAGAGAGGTTGATGAGAGAGGGCTCGAAATCTGTCGTGGGGCCGATATACTGGCTGTACCGGTCTTCCTGGAGACCTAGCGTCCGCTTGAGCATGGTGGGGCCGCCGACATTGGCCATGTCTTCCAAGAATGAGCTGCTGGCTGCGGTGCTGGAGAGGCTCGAGTTGTGGTTTCTGCGGCTGGGGATACCGGGGGAGCTAGAAAACCAATCATGTGTCAGATTGTTATGCAACGTGGGACGTTCTTTTGGCTGTGAGGGACAAGACAGGACAGGGCGGGATCATGTGGCGGAACGAGTAGTCGAAGCGAGGCAATTCGGCACGGGGGATGGAAGAGAGAGAAGGAGAAGCAAATCAAAAGCGAGGCCCAGGCAAAGGCAAGGCCAAGCAAGGCAAGGTAAAGCAAGGCAAAGAGGCACAAGAGCAATGACTGATACTGACCCTCTCTTGACGCTTTCATCGGCAGAATCCCCGTTAAGCTTCCTCTTACGGGTCTGAGGGCTCGGCGACACTAGCGAGCATTCGGTGCCGTTGAGCTGACAGGGCATGCAGCCATCGTCATCCTCGGCCACGGTACACCTGGTGCCAGAGAAGCGACAGGCCTGACACGGGGGAGCGGCAGCCCCATGAAATGAGCCGGAGTCGATGGAGCCCCTGCCATGCAAGCTCGCGGGGCCTATCTCGAACCTGTGGGAGCTGTTCTGGCGGCGTGGGAGTGGGAGTGGCTCCGGCCGAGGAGGTTTGGGAGCGATGGCGATTGGCGCCGTGCGCTGGATAGGAGCGTCATGGGCCATGTTTGGCTTGGCCAGTTAGGATGAAGACGGGAAGTGTCAAGTAGTATGTGCGGGTATGATGGATTAGCGATAGATACTACTAGGGTATCAAATGTACGAGTATCTACTGTAGATACTCCGTAGCAGGTATGTATTAGGTGCTGCGTGTAGGTAAGTTCAAACTTGGAGATAAGTGAAGAGCAGATACGGAACGCCTCTCCAAGGGCTTGCTGCTAGTAGTACGAGTAGGTACTGGAAACTCCGTAATCTTCAAGATGGATAGATAGATAATAGCCGTATGTACTGACTGGGGGAAGCGGGGGATAAGGGAAAAGAAGCTTGCGGGAGGCTGCGTGACAAGAGAACCCCCCGGAGATGCAAAAGTGATGCTATTCGCTGCCCCAAGGCTGGACCAAAGAGGCTCCCCACGCACTGGCAACCCGGGTATGACGCAAAGGCTGAGGCTTGCGTCCAATGCTGGACTGGACTGGACTGGATTTGAGCAACGGAACGGACGAGCCTTCTCTCGGGTCGCCCGATAACGGGAACGGCGGAGAGATAAGGGGAACGACACGACAAAAGCCAAAGCAACGGTTGGTCAACTGTACAAGTAGGAGATCGGCCCTTGTTGCTTTTTTGTGGGTGTCCGTGATAAGGTTGCTGAAAAAGGGCGTGGCGCTACTTGTTTAGTCCCAAGCAGATAAGGAGCACGAGCAAGACTGGTCGACGACCCGGTCGCTGGTACCCGCCAAGGACGGCCTTTTTTTCGAAGCAGCAGGATGGGATTGGGGGAACAAGAAGTAAACAGATGACAGAGATACGCGTTTGGGGATCTTCCAATTCCAGTTCAGGTGATGATGGTGGCCAGGATGAGATAGGCTTTGGTTATCGGCGTCATTTGAACCGGGGGGGTGCCGAATATAAAGCTGGAGAAAGCACCACCTCGCAGACGTTTTTTTTTTTTTCTTTTCTTTTTTTGGTCTTCTTTCTAGATCGACTTCATCCAGCCGGTACAGTTAGGATCTGAAGGAGAGCATCGGGCCAAAGTTTGGGCCGGTGAAGATACGTAAAAACGTGGCGGTGGTATCAGCAGATGCCTGAACTATGTGCGAAGGATATGACAGATGATAGATGGGCCAAGAGCAGCAGCTGAAGGGACAGGCCGGGAGAAGGAGCGAGATCTAAGAGGCTGAATGGGCCACGCCGCAGCTCGCTTTTTTCGTCTTCCTTGTCGTGTCTCTTTGCTTCCGAAAATGACCGATGCCCAGCTTGAGGGAAAAAGATAGGTTGAGAGGGTGAGAGAAGGTGAGAATGAGCGAGAAGAAGGACGTAAAAGATGAGGATAGACAAATGACATGTGCTTCCCCAGACCAGGGCTACCCTTTTTACCGGAACGGACCCAGTCCAGTGTGGATGGATTGTCACACAAGCGATGGGACGCTTTTAGGCCGGTCCCTCGCCGATGCTAGCGAGAGAACGAGGACTCGGCTTGAGCCAACCCAGCCGCGGCGGTTTGTAAAAATGGCGTTTGCTTGGCGATCTTGAGGTCCGGAAGTGCGAATTAGGCAAAGGGGGGGGGCTGTTTTTTTCTCGTTCAATAAAGGGCGCCGCCACCGACCGTCCGTGGCTAAGAGTCAGGCAGCTGTCCAAACGTAAGAATGATGCTGGCTCAACTTGTTTGCTGGTCTTGGTTGACCGACGAGTTGATGAGGATGCGGCCGGCCGAGTACGAGTAAGACAAGACTGCAACCAGCAGCCAATTCAATGCAATGCAATGTACTTGTAATGCAATGGCTGGCTTCGATGGATGCTCGTCCAAGTACGCAGTATAACTACCTAGCATGTCGTTCGCTAATCGCGCTGCTGGCGGGTCACTATTACTCAACGTCTTACCTTGGCCGCCCACGTACTCTGTACAAGTGCTGAGCTAGCAAGTGCTGAGGCTAGATTCGCATGGATCCGTCGCTGAGTGGGATGGATGCGATGCCTTCCAGACTTATGTACGAGGATGCACGATTACAAAGTACGACGTCGAAGAAGAAAAATTGTACGTACGCAAAAGGCTTTACAGGAATCCCGGTGGCACGGCAGCATCCTCAATGCTTGGCATGATTAAGAAAACAACAAATTGTCTGATCCTGACGTTTCCTACCTTATGCACTGAAGCAGGCCCATGTCTATTTTTGTATCAGAGACAGAGAATAGTATATAGCAATCCCCCTTTCTCTCGCAGCATCCGACTCGTACATACATCGACGTGCCTGAGGCCCACAAAAGCGTCTCGGTGGCTTTTGATGCCTGTTTCCGAACGCCTGGTTTCAGGTCCTGAGCTTCTTGTCTTTCTCCCCGAGAGCCTAGTGCTTGCTTGCACGGAGTATTATCCCTAGGTATGCCTGCCTAGCATAATAACGGAGATGGGCCCATCCGCGCGTGTGTACGCTTACCAGAGTAAATTCACGAGAGCCCGTCCGAGAGTGCCACTGATGAATCAAAACCAAGACTGCAGCATCCGTACTCGTAATACCGTGAGATGAGATGCAATGCAACACCAGTTAATCTGCTCTGCTTGTGATTGGTACCGTGTACGAGTTAAGAGTGCTGCCACAAGCACAAGCACAAGCACAAGCACAGCTCCAAAACGTCTTGATGGCTTCCAATTACCCAAGTCACCTCACCCAAGTACCTAAATCAAGGGTCCAGTCCAATGCATGCATGCACCCATCTGTCGTCGCAAGTGGGGACGGGCGCAGGTATGCGATACCGACGCCGTTTCCTGCTAGTCAATCGGGCCTTGCAACCTTGTCTTATCTGTGACGGATCAAAATTAATAACCGCTCGAGATAAAGCTGCGCTTGGCATGCTTGGCCCCCCTTGTACAAGGTACAAACGCGAAGCACGAGCAAGCCCGGCCCAAGAGAGCGCTAGCAACAATATTTCCGTGTCGCATGTACGTCACCGCCGGCCGTGCATCTCTACCCCCTTGGGATGGATGCTGGATGTTCTTCTCTCTCCACCAAACTGGAGATCGGATTTTTGATGAGTCAAGCAAGATGCGTTTTCGCGCTGTCACCGGCTTCGGGCACTACCTATGCTGGTAATGGTTACAATGTACCTGGACTTCAAACACCGTGAAGCCTCGTCCAAGTTGCCGGTGCTGCCAGCCGATCTCGTGTGCCGAATCGGGCCAATGCGTGGGCGGTAGTTGTAAGTAAATCACATCAGCCCGCCCAATAAGAACAAGAACATAAGCAACACTGCATCAGTTCCGCTAGCAAAAAGAGGCCCAAAAAACACAAGCTGCTACGACTCCGTAAAGCTCGTACTATTACCAAATGGAAAAGCCCTCCTGCGACCAGGCCTCGAATACCTCTCACGTAATGGCCAACGCCTACGCTCAGCCACCCCCCCGGTGCCATCTCAGGTGGCATGTCACCAACCACTCCATTCAGATATGTCGGCATATGCCACTCCATCTTGATTCAGCCTCATTGGGTGGTTCTGGCAACACGTCTCGTGCCGTTGGCGGTACAGGCACAAGGACGCCAAGGCACGTTAGCCGAGCTCCGGAGGTTGCAATTTGAGAGAATTAAGTGACAAATACGATTATACTCCTACAGCCGTAGTTATCTGTCTTCATCAGACGAGAAACCCCCCCTGTTCACCCTTTTGTTCCTCATCACTTTCATGCAAAACGACAAGCAAGGCCGGGAACCAAACAAACAACGAAAATAGCTCGGCTCATCGCCCCAAACCACCCCCTGCCCGTGAAATACACGTGCCCCCCACACACAATCGAACGAAACTCCCCGTTTTGCGGCCTTTTTGGCTCTGGGGTATTCCATATTCCCCCAAAACGACCGCGCCAACCGTCAGTTTTTTCCTTCTCGCATCGAGTACTCGTAATGTAATGTTCTCAGAGAACACGTAACACAATGGAAATGAACCGCGCGCGCGCGCCAACTTTTTACCGTTATTTCCATACTATTTTCTCCGTGGTCCGTTCTTCGGTCGTCTCCGCGAACTGCCCCCCCTTTTTTTAGTCAACGTAGCAACGGCCCGTTTCTTGTCTCATACCTGCTCGTACATTTTCGCCAAAGTTCCCTCCCGCGCAGCGTTGGATCGCCCGCAGCCCCGAAAAAAGCTCAGGCTCCAAAACCGAGGGGCCGTCGAAGAACGTTTTGTCCAAGTGACTCAGTAGACGTCATCTGCACGAGAATCTGGCTCGATCAAGACATGACGGTTTTCAGTCCGGACAAAAGTACATCTTGGCTCTTTGCTCCCGCATCGGCATGCATCTCTTTTTGTCCCCCCTCCTCCCTCACGCGATGCTGGGAAAGCAAGGCCCGCAGCTATGATGAGATGATACTACGTAACGAGATCTCGCTCGTCTGCTGATTTCCTGACCGCACGTTTGACGTGAAATAAACTCGGTCGTTTCGAATTATCCCGAGCCCCGGAATCGTTATTCTCCGTTTCCCTCGAACTGTTCCCGCCATCCCATCTGTGGCAGCGAGGCCACGACTCAGTGTTACAAGTAGACGTTGGTGGCCAATCTTTTCAGCTGAACATGCCAATTCCACCCCGTGGAGAAGATCGATACGTGTGTAGACAAGTTCCCCCAAATCAGGCTATATGCCACGTGCATGTGGGGATTTCCGCCCATGGTGCAATTCGTGCGATGCTGTGCAGTTTTGATAGGTGTTTCTATCACGGGATTATCAAGACATGTATCGAGCCGCAAGATGAAAATCTTTTATCTCTATATGCAGACCGTCACATCTATCAACACCTCTATTTCTCCTTCATAACCTTGTACATTAAATCTTGAATTCACGACGCTGCCGCCACGTCCTTCGGCGGCATCCACACCATGCACTTTTCTTCATAGAATTCCGTAGGCTCACTCGACCCCCGAGGCGGCAACATCATCGACAGCCCATCTCTAATTTCAAAGCCCATTTTTTGGTAAAACGTCACCGCATTCATCGTAGCCTCCAGCACAAGAGGGAGTCCCTCTGCCGCAGCGAATTCCTGAACCTTGCGCAAAAGCAACGACGCAGCTCCGCGTCCAGCCCAGCGAGGATCCGTGCAAAGATACGTCGGATCTATGACAACACTCATCGTTAGCAGCCGATCAAATCCAAAGACAAAAGACAAAACTCACGATAATACGCCGCCTCCCTTCCAACAGCCCTCGCCCTCACCCTCTCCGTCAACACCGCATACGGATCCAAATACTCCGCCCTCGCAACATCCGGCCACTCCTCCTCTTCAACCTGCTCCTCTTTCCGTCCCCCTTCGCCAGGCCTATGAACAAGCCACTTGACAAAACTCACCACCTCTCCCGTCTCCCCATCCTTGGCAACCAACACCCCCTTGTCCCCGTCCCTCATATGCTCCAGAGTGTTCCTCTCCAACCAGCCGTGAAAAAACCGCAAACCCTCCGGGCTCGGGAACTGCGCGTGCGTAAGGAGGTTCTCGTCCATGGCCCGCAGGTGCACCGTCGATACCGCCGAGACATCGGCCTCGGACGGCGTGCAGAGTATAAGTGACATTGTGTTTGTAGTTTTTTCTCCTTTCTCGGCGCATCTATGTCATCAATGCTTTCATCAAGTCCTTCATTGATTTCATTTCAACACTCATCAACTCGCCGTCTTCGTAAACAAAATATCGTACACACAGAACACAACTAAACATCACAACTTGGACTCAGCATGCCCACCCACGCTGTCTCCAACATGTGGAAACTTCATCATCCAATCAACTAAAAAAAGATACGTACTCATGATCCACCTGATTGGCAGAGCTGCATCTGCCCCACCAAAAGACGCCTCTACCCAGATCTCCACTCTTTCGACCCCCACGATCCAAGCCAAGCCATCTTCCCACAAGCACAGTCATAGTTACAGCCTGTATAATGCGAAAAATCCCGCTGCTATTCCAACCAATGGATTGCGACCTTAGCTCAGCTGGGAGAGCGTCAGACTGAAGTTTCCAACTCCAGTCAACTCAATTGACATCTGAAGGTCGTGTGTTCGATCCACACAGGTCGCAGCTTTTTGCCTTTTTGGCACTCTTTCCAGCCGAGCTCACGGCAATCAAAGTCAGTCAATCAAGCGAGTTGGTAAAGTTATCTATTCTAGGTATATATGTAGAATGATACATATTTGTTTCCCCTTGCGTTGTTGATGTATGTGTCTGTCATGGTCTCTTTTTGCAATGGCATCATTCGAGCACCAACTGCTAAACTATATTGGTGCCAACACTTACTTGGCCGAAATGCCCAACTCTTCGTAAAACGCCTCGGTGCTAGGCTCTCTGCCCAAAAACTCCTTCAAAAACTCCATCTCTTCGATGCTGCCGCCGCGTTCCAGCACAGTGTGGCGGTATCGTCGGCCTTCTTTGCCGTCCATCGGGTTCTTCTTGAAGAAGGAATGGAACATGTCCAACGAAAAGACTTCAGAATAGAGGTAGCCATAGTAGCCGGCGTCGTAACCGCCGATGAAGTGACCAATGGTGGCATATCGGTTGCCCCATTCCCTAGCACATGTTAGTAACGGGCGACACAATCGGGTGGAATAGAGAAATGGGGAGGTCATACAGAGTGTCACCGGCATCCTCCGGGCCCTTGATGCCCGAGATGTCGTGACGGAGCTGGTTCCACAGCCTGCCATAGTGTATGTTTTTGGCTTCTTCTTGAGACTTGGGGCCGTGAACGGTCATGTCAAAAGTACCGATAACGAGCTGAGACAGTGCGCCGATTGCAGAGTTGAGATGCTTGGTCTTAACCAGCTTCTCTACAAGCTCGTCGGGGATGGCTTCTCCCGTCTCCCAGTGCTTCGACAGCGATTTCAACACACTTGGTGTCCAGCACCAGTTCTCAAGCATTTGAGAGGGTGCTTCGACGAAATCAGCCACGGTGGCAGTGCCATGGGTATAGCTGAAACGAGATCGGCCAGCAAGATCATGGATGCCGTGACCAAGCTCGTGGAAGAAGGTAACGACTTCATGGTGCTTGAGCAGCGATGGCTTGGTCGCGGTTGGCTTGCTGAAATTGCACACCAAGGAGGTCGACGGGTAGCTTCTCTTTCCATCCACGGTAAGGAAGCCGGGCTCGATTCCAAAGTTTGCATAATGGCCGTACTTGTTGTCTCTAGGGAAGAGATCAAGGTACAGGTAGCCGCAGAACTCGCCGCCCTTGGCTGCCTCGTCCCAGACGCTGTAAATGATGACGTCTTCATGCCAGGAGATATCTTCAGCTTTTCCGCTGGGGCTCAGTCGGGCTCGATCCTCCGGGCCGAGCTCAACAAAGACAAAGCCAAAGATTTCTTCAAAAATCTTCAGCATGCCAGCAAATGTTGATTCTGCCGGGTAATACTGTGAGATTGCGACCTCATCTACGCTGTACTCCTTTTCTTTCATGATTCTTGTGTAGTAACCAGCGTCCCACATATAAAAGTTGCCGTCAAAGGGGATGCCGCGCTCTTCATAGTCTCGCTTCTTGTATTCCAGGAGTTTCTGGACTTCCTTCTCACCGCCAGGGGCTAAGCGAGTTCTCAAGTCGCCCAAAAACTCGTTGACGCGGGTCGGCGACTTGGCCATCTTCTCCTCAATCTTGACGCTTGCATGGTTCGGGTAGCCCAAAAGTCGAGCAGCTTCATCTCGAAGTACCATAATCTCCTTGAAGATTTCGACATTGTTGTTTGCCTAGATATACCGCGTCAGCCGGAGGGTCAGATATGGTGATTTGTCATGTAGAGAGAACCCTGATGGGCTGGTGTCATACCTTGTTGGCATCCGCAATCATATATCTGCGTCTGGTTTCTTCATGTATAGCATATTTGCTCAAGGGGGTAAAGTGGTTGTATTTAAAAGTAACCTTTACTTTTCCTTCGTTTTCGCCGGTTCCTTTTTCGAGCGTGTCGACGTCAATATCATCCTTGGGCACTCCCTCGAGCTCCTGGGGAGTAAACCAGAGTCCACCCTTTTCCTCGTTGAGGTTCTTCTTGCCCAGGATGCAGAGTTGACTAAGACGCTTCTGGATCTCCTTGAAGCGGTCTCTCTTCTCTCCGGGTGGAAGAAGCAAGCCGTTGCGGATGTATTTTTGGCGTTCCTTCTCCAGAATGTGGAGCGACTCCTTGTCCAAGTTCTGAGACGCTCGAGTGGCATAGGCGGCGTCCACCAGCTTGAACACATCCTCCCGCATCTTTGCTTCAATATAGAAATCGTTCAAGAGCTCTTCCGCCTTGGTGGAGGCTTCTCGGAGGGACTCGTTTGTCGATACATGTTGATAAAAGGTCAGGATGTTCTGGGGGCCCGTGGAATCGTTGCCATCGATGAGAATGGGCTTGAGAGTGTTGTCGAAGGTGGCAGTCTCGGGGGTGACGCTGGCAACGATTTGATCCAAGACACTCTTGCTCTGGTCAGCGCTCCTCTTCGCATCGGCCAGGATGGATTCGGCCGTGGCCGTAAAGACCGGCGGTTGCTGCGGCGGGTTTCGAAACTGCTCGGGAGCCATGCTGCCGGTGGTCAAGAAGCGACGGTATGACGGAAGACGGGCGATGCCTTGCAGCCGTACGTGACTCGCAAGAGAGTTGAGGCGCAGAAGAGCTCGTTGGGAAGCCAGGGTTGCGGCGAGAAGGAGCACGAGGAGGGAGAGGAGGAGAAGGAGGGGCTTTATGGCACGAGGTCGCTCCAGCTCGATGAAGGGCTGTCCTACGTACGAAGTACAAGCTTGGCCGGAGGTTCTGACCCAAATTGGCCCGCTCGGACTGCAGGACGTATGACAGCGTGATGTTGGATCGGCCTACCAGAAGGGCGGAAATTGAGTGCTGGTGAGGGGTAGGTAGATTGATGCCCAGAGACGAGACAGTTGACGCGGCAGAACGCGGCTTTGGCTTGAACAGTGTGAATTGGAAGTCTGGATGGAAAACGTTACATTGTGTTGATTGTATTATTGCATTGAATTACTCGTATACTACTAGGTACTGTAGTATTGTATTGCATTGTATTGTTTACGTAGCGCCGGTAAGTGGCTGCTGGCTCCAGCAGCCTCTCGCCTCCCATGGCAATAGGCTCTTCTCATAGTAGCTACTAGGTATTATACTTTGCACAAGGCAAATTGATGCTAAAGCTAAAGGCAACTTAGTAGCTTCAACGGCGCCGACCACGCCGGAGTTATACAAGAGAGGATTGCCAGATCGATTAAACTAAAGCAGTACTAAGGTATGTAATGTTATTGCCACCCATTTATGGTATGCAATTTACTGACCCGGGCAATGGAATTCGGCTTGGGCAGCATCACCACATACCAATACCTTAAGCTCCGGTATTTGCACTTTGGAGTGACTCTATCCGGCAGGTGGTGAGCCGCTAAGCCCAACCGCATCGCGGGGTTGCTCCGCATGCAAAGGGGGGGGGTTGGAGACATGGAAGTTAATCAGCCATGCAATCGGAAAATTACACGCCAATTTAACGGCTATAACAATGTTGGTTTACAACCAAGTCCCAAGATACAGCAGTTACAGTACCTACGTCTTTAAAACCTTACTAGGTATGTTAGTAGATATGGAATCATCTTTTACTGCCTACGTATCGAGATAGTGGTCACTCTCACATCGAGTAAAATATTCAGATTCAAAAGACGCTTGGCCGACTCATTCCATTGTGCACTCCAAGTACCAACCACATGTTCATATTCCACTGGTAGCAAACAAAGTCTACGGCCATCCCGTACAAAAGAAAATTTCATCAATCCCAAGCGTGCCCAATTTCACTGCCATAATCAAAACAAACACATAGCAACGCCATCCCGTTCGCAGATGCACTTAGATGCCACCGGGGTTAGGTTAGGTTCTTCGTCCAAGGGGAATCTTAGTTGGCGAGGATAGTTCGGACAAGATCTGCGTAGAAAACAAGCGCGCGGTCAGCAAGCTAGGTGTGATTAGGGAGAGAAATGCAGGCAAAAGAAAAGCCATGCCAGTGAGATCGTACCGGTGTAGTTGATCTGGCCAGAGCTGGTGTCCACAGCCTTTAGTAGCTCGTCGACCTCCTCCTCCGTCATCTTCTCGCCCAGGTTGGTCAGGATGTACTTGAGCTGGCCGACGCCGATAAAGCCCGTCATGTCCTTATCAAACACTTGGAAGCCACGGCAGTATTCTTCGGGCTCGCCAGGGTCGCGGAATCCGCCGGGTCGGTTCAGGATGCGCTGGAAGGTCTCGAAATCAACTGTACCAGAGGGGGGGGGGGCAAGAGTCAGCACAGCGGCGCATCATCGACAAAACGATAACGGGAGAATATGCGAAACCTACATTCGCCTCCAAGGCCCTTCTCCAGCTCCTGGATCTCGGCCAGCGTGGGGTTCTGGCCGCATGCTCGCAGCAGGTCGCCCAGCGAGTCGACGGCACAGCGACCGTTGCCGCGCTTGTCGAACAGGGCAAAAGCCTCCTTGTAGTTGGTCGAGGCCTGGGAATCAAACTGATTAGAAGCCATGTTTTTTTTTGGTTTCCTTTTTCTTCGTTTCGTTTCTCAAAATGTGCAAATGCCGGGCTGAAGCGCAAGTCTCTCGAATGCGACTGTGTACTTTCGCAGGGAGAAACGGGGGGGGCAGGCAGTTTGTTTTTGGGGATATTTTGGCTTTCGAGTTGCGCGCAAAAACGGGAAGCAACAGGTGCTGGCGAATCATGTGCGGCGCCAGCACCAGACGAACTCGGGCCGGCTTTGTTTACATCGAGCGGTGCTGGGGCAACTCACCATTGTGATTGGTGTCTTGGTGCTTCTGCTTTGTCAGACTGTTCTGTGTCGCTGTCGCAAAGTTCGGTCGGTTCAAACAACGTCGTCAATGATGTCTTTCAGACTCAAACAATGATGCAAAGTTGAAAATGACAACAAGAGGTCTGCGTCTCCTGACATTGATGCCCCACTGGGTCCCCTTGCCTGGTCCTGACGGGGCAACGAGTCAATAGTCGGCATCGCAGCCAATCGACCTATCGCTTGGCTTGTCGGGGAGGCGGTCTGTATAATTAGAATTAGGCGGCATGATTTGCTGCCATCCATGGCTTATGCCGTGCATTGCGCCCCATAACAACGCTACGTTTCTGATTATGCATTTGATCCGTCTAGCTTGCCGCTGTTTACCAAGAGAAGAAGAGGACCGGGGTTTTCAAACAACCTCCGTCTTACTGCCTATCGTAGAGTGCTTATTCCCACAACACAAGAGCGAGCATCACAACAAGGATTGTGAGTGTCTGTAAATAATACCAGGGTCGTAATAATTGCACAGAGCATATAGCCTGCCTCATTACTGGATGTGTTCCCGCATCTGAGTGTTTCGTATGAGCAATACCTAACCTCCCTACCTGGGTGCTGTAACGACCTATCGCCAACTCTGTTTACGTTTGCAGGTTCAGCCCCTGTGCCGAGGCTGCCTACCCTATAGTATATTATTTCATCTCGGGGGCGTCTCAACCTCCTCACTTCGGCCATAAAGGACTTAGATAATCGCTACCCTGTTGGACCATGACAAATAACGACAGCCTCAACCAGTCGTTATCTATGCCCATGCCATTCGTCCGTCAAATGTTACCTTGGAGTGCCATCCTGATAAACTTCACCATGTTCCGACAATCAACCGATGAGGACTTCCTACGATTAATCACGTCAGCTAGCCGGGTCCGGCGCTTAGAAATATCCTCATAAAGAAGACTCAATCCCTCTCGAACGAATTTAACTTACAAGTAAATACCTCTCCTCGCACAAATCGCACAGCTACAGGAAAGATGGCTGCAGTCACCGAGGCCACGGCCAAGCGCTTCTTCTCATCTCCCCTGTTTGCGGTTGTGGGAGCTAGCTCCAACCCCGCCAAATTTGGTCATAAAGGTTCAACACAAGTCCCTCCTTCATGGCCCTTGATATCAGAGCAGCTCGCTAAATCGGTCGTTATGTTTTATAGTTCATGCCTGGTATTTGAGCCATGATCTGCCCGTCATTCCCATCAACCCAGCGTCCAAGACCGTCACGGTGAATGACGAGGATTATCCTACGGTACCGGATGTGAAGTCACTACCGAAGCCGACGGAAACGTCCGTCTCCATCATCACTCACCCCGGCATCACCATCAATGTCCTCAAGGAAGCCAAGAGCGTCGGCATTCCTGCAGTCTGGCTGCAACCCGGCACTTTCGACCAGGATGTTCTGGATTTCGCCCTGGCTGATGGAACTTTTGAAGCCGTCGTCTACGGAGATGGAGGCCGGGGCTCTGAGGGTTGGTGCGTACTTGTTGATGGTGGAAAAGCTTTGAAGGATGCTGGAAAGCTGTAGTGTAGCTCTGAATTGCTGCTGTTGCACGGCGAACTGGACAGATGTTCCTCAATTGAATTGCCACCCATCTGTGGTCATTATACCCGTTATCGGACTCACCCTGGCTTGCACATGTTTGGCTGAATGAGTTAGACCGAGTGAGATTACAGAGGAGATGACTTCAAAAGCGGCCCATCTGTTCAATTTATGAACAACCATCTATCTGCATATGAGATGAAAAGAAGCCCAGACTACCAAATCTTGCATCTCCATAATGAATCAGAGTCAGAGAGAAGTGAACAAGTTCCTAGGCTTTAAGGCGCGCACGTTTTAAACGAAGACTCGAAAAGCCACCGTAAGTACATCCTCTATCCAGCATCTCTTATAGACTATGGCGGCTCTGCTATTCTGCGACTACAGCGTCCTGAGCCCTTGGTCACCATCTAACCTACTATTGACCTTATGATGGGCTTTGAAAATGAAAGTTGAGAAAAGGAGCTGTGGCCAGTTGTAATGTAAGCTCAGTTGTATATGTCAACCAAGCTCCTATTATCTCGTCGATGATCCATGGATTGCAAATTACAATGCCAGCCCTCCGTAGCGCGGCGCTTCCAGGGGCTTCCAGGGAGCCAAGCGCTGTAAGTTCAGTGGCTGAACCCGCGCCCCACCGTGCGATGGAAGTAAACAAACGCGGTCGCGGACCCACGTCACGATGCAGCGTCAAACAAACAATCAACTGTTGTCTCAGCTGCTGTCCATTCTTGCAGGCCCAACTTCGACTCGACTTCCCCCAATCGAAGCCGAAACCCCGATATCCCACCTTTACCAGGCTTCGACAAAGCACGAATACCGCCCAATCACGTCTCGCAAACCGCCGATATACACCCCGTTGGCACTTCCTGAGATGCTGCTCTTGTGCCTGTGATAGTTGGTTAAGAGCTTTGCGCCCTTCGTGCCTGCGTTGCCCCCTGTTCACGCCGTTCCGACCAAAGGCCAATATATACAACAACAAGCCTCGCGCTGCTGTCCCTCGCCTACGCCTGAGGCGATCCTCAACATGGCCACAGAATTTGATCAGTATTTTACCTACGAAGCCCGCCTGGCTTCCTTTCAGAGAGCCACCAGGAAGCGCGGATCAGTCACCGGTGGCCGAGCAGCCAAGGCTCTTAATTGGCCCCATAAGCAGATTTCTATCACAAGTGTACGCGCCCTATCATTGCCAGTTGGCGCATCGATGGGAGACGTACTGACCTCTTCTGTAGCTTGCCAGAGCCGGGTTTGTGTTTAGACCAAGCCCCGATAGCCCGGATAACACTGTTTGTTTTCTTTGCGGAAAAGGACTGGATGGATGGGAAGCAGGCGATGACCCGGTATACGAACACGTCAAACATGCCCCCCATTGCGGCTGGGCAGTAGTTGCTGCCATTGAGGTCGACATTGGCGACTACGGACGAGAGGATCCCAACGACCCCGAAATGATCGAAGCACGTAGAGCGACTTTTGCGGACCGATGGCCTCACGAAAACAAAAGGGGATGGAAGTGCAAGACTAAGCAGGTTTGTCGCCGCTCGAGAGGATGAAGCCCAGGAACTGAAATACCATGCTGACATCATACCAGTTGGTGGACGCCGGGTGGAAATACACTCCAACCGAAGAATCGGACGACATGGCTACGTGTACATACTGTCAACTGGCACTTGATGGATGGGAGCAAGGTGACAAACCTTTGTGAGACATGATCATCTGCCTCTTGGCTCGTAGAGACTGACTAACTGCCATTTAGAGACGAACATTACAATCGGTCCCCTGATTGTCCCTTTTTCTCCCTAATCAGCCAATATAGGGCGCTAGGAAAAGGCTCTGTACGTGGAAAAGCGCCGCGTAATTCGGCATCATCTGTTCAGTCTTATGGGACAGCCGCAGCCGACATTTCAAATGGCAGTGACGTGAGCGTAGGACCTGAAGACAGTGTTCTTACGACTGCGTCCTCGGCTTCACAACTGGACACGAAAAAAACTCGAGCAAAGAAGGGGGCCGCGGCAAAGGCTGGTAGGAAGAAGATCCAAAAAGATGACCAGTCTGAGCTTGACCAGAGCAGCCAGATGGAGGAAGAAACACAGCGCCCAAAGGCCAGGCGAGGCAAGAAGAGACCGAGCGACGCAGTGGAAGACCCGATATCAAGCTCAACAGACGGGCCCATATCAAAAAAGCGAGCTTCACGGACCCCTAGCGTTGGCAGCATCGATGGTGTTGCTGTTCACGAATATGACTCTGAGGCGACAGATATCTCCAAGGCTTCTTACAAAAGGAATACAGCGCAGCCTGCTTCCAAAAGGGGTCGTAAGGGCGCCCCGAAGCTGATCTCGCATGCATCCATGGCGTCCTTACGTGCTCGCGGCGGAATTCCAGACGATGCTGAGATTGAACGTGAACTGGAGGCTGATCTGGATCGGCAATTCACCGACGATGAGGAGATTTCATACGATTCTGACTTGTTACGAAACAGGGTTAAAGGAAATAGAACTGTGACAGACTCGGAGAGTGAAGCTTTTCGACCCGCAAGGCCGAGGTCGCCTGAGTATGCCATGTTTGATCCGGCGGTACCCGAACCCGCTGAGGATGAGCTTGATGACGAGCTTAAAGCCTTACAGGCTGAGATGGAGGTTGACGAAGCAGAACAACCCCCGAAACCTAAAAGAGGTCGCAAAGCTGGTGTGCAAAAAGGGGCAAAACAAGTCAAGGCCCACAAGGTCGAGAGAGAGGCCGAATCCGAGTTCCCAGAGTCACAGCAAGAAGAAGAGGGAGTGGGATCGGCTGATGTTAGTGCGGGCAGCACTGCTGCTGGAAAGCGAGGGCGTGGGCGACCAAGGGCCTCGCTCGGATCGCAAGATGAATCTGCCACTCTTGATGTCGCTGAGTCGTCACAACAGTCAGTTAAGCGCGGTCCGGGTCGCCCACCGTCTAGGTTGTCATTAGCATCTCTATTGTCTGCTGAGACGGGTGACGCCCTTCCAGCTGATGCTCCCATGAAGCGAGCTCGCGGTCGACCTTCAAACGCGTCATTGCTGTCACTAGAGTCAACGGGGTCGGATGAAGGCATCTTGGCTGCGCCTGCGCCAGCCCCAAAGCGTAGGGGACGGCCGTCTAAAACCACTTCAGTGTTACACGGTCCTCGTGATATTCTGGCTGTTGAGAAAAGCAAAGAGTCTCTTGCTCCTGGGAAGCGTGGACGCGGAAGACCGGCTAAGAAAGTGGTTGAAGCGATACCCGTGGAGCCTGTTGAGACGGAAGCCGAGGATGACTTTGTCGAAGCTCAGGAATCGGTGGAGGAACCTATGCGATATAGGCAATCGCCAGTCCGAGCCATTTTCTCTCCTAGGGGAGCGGCTGCGTCCCTGGCAGCGTTGCCTGGTACTCCGTCCAAGCTTATGTCGCCCGTGCCTTCGGCTAGGCAGGCGGTTCTGTCGCCTTCGCAATCTCCTCAATCATCAGACGCAGAGAACCAGCCGCCTTCCTCTCTCACCGCCGCCAAGCGCCTTGTGCTGGCCCCTAAAGCATCAACTCCCACCCATGGATCACCTTCGAAGCGCAACGTTATGGCCGGCGTTCGAAGCACAATGCCATGGGCAGCGGCGAGTCTGGAGGCGATATTTGAGACGCCGCTCGATAGTCCGGGCAAGGAGAATGAAGTAGATCGTTTTTTGAAACGAGGTCAGGAATTGACCAGTCCGGAAAGGCGCATGACTGTGGAAGAGTGGATTTACTTTAACGCAGCCGAGGCAGAGAAGAAGCTCAAGTTCGAATGCGAGTCTCTAGTCAACCGATTCGAGATGGAGGGCACAAGAGCTATCAAAGTTCTGGAAGGCTTGGAGGTGGACGAAACCAGCTAACGGAGGCCCAAGTCAATGTGTAATGCGTTGTATATGATGGCGTGCATGGAATCATGGGAGGAGTTTTGTTCTTCTTTATTTTCTGATTTAGCAAATGGATACATGATGGGCACAAAAGATGATATGGCGATTGAGTCTGGGCTTTTTGCATTTGGGATCAGAATTGGGCGTTAGAAACAGGTCTAATTGAGAGTCGAATCCATGACAGGGAGAGGCTAGCTGCAATGTATAGCTTCAATGAGGAGGCATTTTCAATGCCGACGATGAATTATACTGTCGCTTTACTTGTGATGTTAGTCAGTCGAATACAGCACGAGGTTTGGCTTCTATATGCTCTTGGAAGATGTGTTTTCTCCCATATTGCTGCTGTGAGATGATGTTGCATCTTTTGTCTATCAAGTACAGATGAGTGAATCGGTACTCTATTCTCCTTGCATTAGCTTGTTCTACCTTTGCGTGTCGGAGAGTCTCACGACTCTCTCTAGCTTGCTTGTGGAATGATACTGTTGCATACCTTATGGCTTGATTTAGCGCGTGGCGGTTGATGGTTTCAAGATGGCTGATTGACAAGCTTTCATGCCATTCACTGTCACGAGTCAATGGCAGAGCAATATTCATTACGTTGGACTCTAAAAGAATGCATTTGTATATGGCGACGATGGAAAACTAAAAACCCTCTTACAGACAGAGAAGACACCTTGAAAGCAACTCTTTGTTTACACGTCATCCCATGGGCGTAGATATACTTTATGATGTGAACCGAGTCTGTCAGCTGGGTGATGCTAGCTAGATGAGGCGTTGTCGATGGCTTGGAATGGCATGCCGGAATGGAGACGATGTCTTTCCTGGCATATTTCATATCTTGTCTTTTGTCTTGCTGATTTCTCTCTTTCCCCTATTTATACTCATATGATATGGATTCAGGAAACCAATCTATTGAAGAGAGCAGCGTTGTCATATCCTCAAAAGAAAATTCAAGAAGGCATTGAAATTGACCGACAAACAAGCAGTATGATTGGATTGTCATACTCGGGATTCATCGTCCCGATGCCCAACGCAGGCGAATACAACGACTTCGTAACGACTCTCCCGCTCTCGTCATCCGTTTGAAGAGGGGATGCGTGTTTCTAAAACGGGGATGAAGTGACTGGTTTTCCTTTTGGTCTTTATTTTTGAGTATTGAAGTTTTGGGTATGTGGATTTGGCGTTGGGATGTGGATGGGATGAAGGCAAGTGATCGACTGTTGTAGGGGATATCACTAATTGCGATTCGATTGGATTCTTTGAACTCCTCGAAGGAGTAATAATAGCATGCATGACGACTTGAGGAAAGATGAGCGACTCCCATCATGGTATACTTGGTGATGGATCACGAAGAGTTCAAGGGAAACCTCTCAGATGCCGAATGGTTCCTATTATTCAACCATTTCCCCCGTCACTACCACGTATATATGACCACTATGCATCCCATACATTGCATCAATACAAGCCTATGTGAGCCCTTGCGCTACATTTTGTGTAAACCTTCCCGTGTCCCTTCCTATACTCCATAGTCGTATGGCAGACATGCCTTTCTGCTGCCGTGCTGATACCTCATAAAACATGTGTGACAAAGTAAGTTGCCTCAACAGATCACATCTAGCTGCGTGCCCATAAGTAAACACACGCAGCAACAAGTCAAACAAATCATGGCCCAAGGCCTAAATTTCAAGTTTCTCCAATCCCTCTCCAGCCTCATCGACCCTCGTATCAGCGCCTTCCGCAGCGACCCCCGTCTTCCTGGTGCGCTTCTTGCGTTTTGCCGTGCCAGTAACGACGGGAGCTTCTTGCACCCATCGCGCAATTGCACTGGCGCGGTCTGTCATGATGGGGTAGTCTCTGCCGTCATCAGCGGACCAGCGGCGCGAAAGGAGATCCGCGTCAGTAGCATCCTCCTTGGACTCTTCGGTTACGTATACACGCATCGCCTTGTCTGTGCCATTCATGGCGTCTGGACCGTTGGGACTAATGCTTGTTCCCGGGCTTGATTTAGGCGTGGTAGTGGTGCCATTGGAAGACTTGCCCGAAACGACAGCGTCATTTCGCTGAGCACGTTTCTCGTGGGCTTCAATGGCTGCGCGGAAAGATGCTTCGTCAGTAACGCGCTCATCATCAAGAGCATCCAATATCGCTTGCTCGCGGATGAGCTCTTTTCGCCGCTTTTCTTCTTCGCCGGCAGCGTCAGAGGACATGCCGTTGATAAGTGCTGCTGCTGCGGAAGCGGCCCTGCCAGCCGAGATGACAGCTGTTTGGGTGTGGTTGTGAGAGTGCATACAAGAATGATGGCCACAGCATGGCTCATCGTCGTATATGGGCAGTGGAGCAGGGGAACACAGCGTGTCCCACGAGGAACTGAGAGAAAGCCAGTTTTCAGTACGATGGATGACCTCTGCCCAATCGGCTCGCGCAGGGGACCGGTTCGCTTGAAAGATGGGATACCCGTCGGCAAGCCTGACAAGGCGAGCAACCATGTAAGCATGCCGTTGGATCTCCTTGGTGGAGGTCTGGGCGAGGCAATGGGCAAGGAGAAGAGAGTGCAATGCGTCAGTGAGCAACGGATGATATGTCACACACTCGCATACAGCAGCTGCTTTCGCCAACAACCGCTCTGACGGAGACTGGTATGTGTCGTGCTTCATCACGGCCTGAGATGGAAACGGTGGGAGATCGGTAGGGGGAACAGAGCGAAAGAGGTCAGATAAGGAGTAGACTGTGTGTGACTCTGTCCAACTGCTCGAGTCAATGGCTCTTGAGCTGCGCATGCCGTGCGCGACGAGGTTGACACGGTCGTTGAACTCCTTGGCAGCTTTGGCGGGGAGGTTAGGTGAATAGTGGAAGTTTGAGATGAATGAAAGACAGTCCTTGATGGCGCGCTTAGCAAATGTCTTGACCAATTTCCGCGCCTCGGCCTGTTTTCGCGCGCTCTCCTTCTTTGGCTCGGGAGAGCTTTTGCCACTGGCCTCTGCTCCCGCATCGCCATCGTCTGCTTCATTGGCCTGATTAGACGACGGTGTTGGTATGCTGTCCAGGACATGTTCAGTAGCCATTGTTAGATACACCGATGCCCTCTGGAAGTATAGCTGGGCTTCAAAGCTGCTAGGTTGATCCTTCTCTGACAAGATGATATCATGGGGTCGTCTCCTGGCTGTGCGTTGCGTCTCTCCAACCTGCGTCTCCTCCGGGCTGGAACCATGAGACCTGCGAACGAATTGCGATATAGACAGAGCGTGTGTTAGGTCGAAAATGGCGCCGTCAAAATCCTCCTTGAATATCTTGACAGTTGCGCGAGTCCGCAGCACCTCTGGTTCTCCGGGCCGGTCCTCAATGATATCCGTCAGAGGCTGCAGGCTCGTCGATTCGGCCATTTTCCTCGACGGTATCTTTTCATGGAAAAAGTGCACATATTTGGCGTCGGAATCCTTGGGGCTGCGCTGCAGCACAAGGCTGCCCACGTCCTCCAGCGGCGAGGCGCCCTGCATCGTCGCAACGCTGCAGGCGATTTCGTCCAAGCGATACGCCCGTCCCAGCTTCTGGCTGGCCTGCTCTCTCATTCGGAATTTGCGCTCTCTGCTCAGTTTCCCGCCGTGGACTGGCGGCCCCGGCCCCTGCGAGCTCATGCCCAAGGCCGACGATATGCTCGGAAAGCCGCCATTGACGTTGGTCAGCGTTGGTGAGGCGATGTCGCTAGCAGCCCTCACAGCAAGATTGGTGGCTTCGTCGACAAGCCGTCGCACCTTGACAAGATCGAAGAAGGAGGCAGCATCGATGGGTCGCGGCAGGGGAGAGTTGTAATTGATGTTGGCAAGAGTCTCGAGCAGCTCAAAGGGCATTTGCAGCCATGGTCCGTGATAGGAAGAGATGTGGCGCCAGTGCCTATTTTACCAGATCAAGGTCAGCGAAAGAGCTCGCCCAAAAAAAGAAAACAATTAAAAAAAAAACGGATTGCCATACACATACTTGTTGCGACAGATGACGAGCGAGGGCGAAATGGCCGTCGTTGGAGCCGCATGGGAAATTCTAGATCTCGGTTTAGGACCTGAACTTGACGATGCCTGAGACGCTTGCGCCGTGGCCGATGGCACAGACGGTTGACTTGCACTCCCACTGTCCAGCGACGCCTCCTCGCCCAATGTCTGTCTCACCTTCTTCTTCGCCATCATGATTTTTTTTTGAGTGCCCCGGAAGTTCTACCTCCTTGGCATGGTCGAGCGCCTCGTGCAATTCCCAATGGACGGACACTGGCAGAGAGTCAACAAGACATGGGGTGGTGGAGTAGCTGGGAAGAGATCGATAGGAACCGATTGGCGATGCTCGAAAGAGGATGCTGGCGTTGGATTAAAGCTATTAGCAGGGGGGGAAGAAAAAACAACGATGAGAGAAAAAAAATATGCTAAAGGATCATGCGTGTTGCAATAGAAGCTTATATAGCAGAAATTTAGAAGGGGGAAAACAATGAATGGAAAAAGAAAAAGGGAAAAAAGAAAAAAAAAAACGTTGTTATGATGACGGTGCAAAATGCATGTGCTGGTGGCTGCCAGTGGCCGGAATCCCAATCACGTGAAGCTACCTAGTACCTATTATAGCTTTTGGGTTGCGATGAGTTGAGCTCAGCTTTAGTTCAGTTCACAATAAACTCAACACTTACTTTTGATTTCTCTCCTCGATTCATCTCACTTTTCTTTCTCGGCTGCTCAGCAACTTGGAGCCGACCCAATTTATAATTGTTACCAGCGGTCCTCATACGCTTTTACTACTCCTTTGAGCGGTCCACACAAGCGGCCTTCGCTACTGTTTTATGAGCTGTCACTGCATGTGCGCTTTGGAAGCAAGGAGAAGCGCATTCAAACAAACTATTGGCAGACAGTTATCGTTTGCCTGCATGGGGGCGCTGCAAGGCCAACCAGCCTCAATTTTCGCAGTTGCCCTGCGTTTACGGACCAATGAAGCCGGCGGAAAGAGATTAAAAATGTAACCATGATATTAGTGAATTCTTTTTTCCTTTTTCCTGCTGCTTGCTGCTGTTCAGCCGCTTGCCGCTAACCACAAGCTCGCAGCATGTTCCCACCCCAACCATTTTGAAAGGGGAAATGAAAGTCTGATGTCTACCTGAAAAGCTAACTCAAAAAGCAAAAAAAAAAAAAATCGTCCATCATTAAATGTGTATGAGAAGAGAAAAGAAGAGAAAAGACGCCCATAGTCAGCTCCTTGCCTACTCGCTCCTGTACGAGTGCCAGGCTCTATCCCTTCTAGTGTCTCACAGGGAGAAGAACATGACGGCAGCAACGCCACTCAGCAAACAGAAGACGGACACTCTGTTCCCCGAGGCAGCTCCTGGGAAAGGCGCAATGGATGACGTGGCACTTGCAGTGATTTCAGGAGGGACGGTAGCATAGCTGGTCGAAGTGATGGTGACGACGCCGGTCAGAGTGGCAGCGCCTGTAGGAGAGACACTCGTGGTGTGGTGAGGACCGGTGGTGTAATGGGAGCCCGTGGGAATGTGATAACTTGTGGTGTTCTGAGCGCCAGTGACACTATGAGGAGAACCGGTAGCAACGGGGCCATGGATCGAATGATGAGCACTGGTGGTGGTATGCGACTTTGTGGCAGCACTCGACACCGGCAGCTTGGCAAAGTTGGCGCACGTCAGCCGCGTCTTGTTCGCATAATGGACGACGATCGACCGATTGCCAAAGAAGGCCGGGTTGTCGGGATGGAGAGAGGTGTAGAGGTCAAAGTACTCGGCCACGAACGGATCCGAGGTGATCTTGCCGTACTTGCCACTCAGATCACCAACCTGGCAAGTCTCGGGCTTGGAAGCATCGCAAGCGGGCGTCTCGCCACGATGATACGGGTCCAGGTGAGCCAGGGTCGTCGTACAGTTGCCGTTGGTAGCCGGCTCTTCGTGGATGTGATACACTGCATACAAGAGGGGATGGTTAGCCACTATGACGCCGTCGCATCGCCTTCGACCGGGGAAGCAAAAAGAAGCAAACAAACAAAACTCACTAAAGGGGCCACCGCTTTCGGGGAAGTTTTCGAATTGGACGCGGAACCTGACGCCCTTGCCGCCAGGAGCAGCCACGGCGGAAACAGAGCCCTTGACGTTGCCCGCGAGATCAGCGCCGGCGAAGAAGGGCCTTTTGGGCAGAGTGGCCTTGTATTCGACGCTTTGAGGATTACCGGTAACGACGGGGGCATCTGTCTCTGCGACGCAGCTCGACACGGCGAGAGAAAGAACAGCCAAAATTCCAGAGGCTCGCATTTTAGAGACGAAGAGAGGGAAAAGTGTTCGTTTTTCGGTAACGTAATGAATGATATCAAGTATTATTGCGATGACCTGACACTGCTAACAGTTTAAGTATGATGCGATAAGTGAAGAGACAAAGAACAAAGTTATAAAACGGTCAGGTGAACAGGGAGATGCCAAGCAATTATATGTTTGAACAAGAAAGAAGAAGAACGAGAAAAGCAAGCAGAACACGAGTGAACATAAAAGGGCAGAACAGTTGAGAGACAGCTCTTCCTCGAGACATTCAGGGCATCCCATCCTCACAAGGATCCATGCAACGTACCTTGATTTTCGAAGCCAAAGCCCTTGGTCTCTTCCCACCCTCGGTAGCAAATAGTGACAGCCAAGGTTACTTGGAGGCGGGATTGTAGCGAAGTGAGACAGCAATAGATGGTCTCGCTCTCGCTTCGTGGCCGATGAGCAGGGCTGTTTGCGTCCTTGATATACTCCTAAATGGTCCGACCTGTGACTCGATATATTCTCGATACAGGTGAATTAAAATGAGAAAAAAAAAAACACTGTTTGTTTGTTCGTTTGTCTGTTTGTTCAACTCTGTCGACAGCCGGCTCCCACAGAAACACAACACACAGATACACAAGAAAAGAAAATGAAAGGGACCTTGCAGCAGCAATAGCAGCAACAACAACACAAAGAGAACACAAAGGTGTTGTTACATCTATCACCCGTTCATTCCCTTTTATATTCCCAGGCCTCACATCAGCACCGCCATTGTTTCACACCCATCACAGCCAACAGAAAAATACTCAAACTGCCGGCTTCCGGCCTGCGCCCACAGCCCGCCGTTGGAAATGCTACCAACGCCAGTGACACGCCCCGAAACGCTGCGAGGCCACGACGGCTGGTTGGGCGGGCGAGGGCAGCCGATGCGACTCGAGATTTGCGCAAGGGAGAACCCCCCTGGCAGGATTCGATTGATAGGCGGCCAGCCGAGCCGTGATGCGACACTGGGTGGGCCGGCCTCAGCCTAACGGTTCTTCCTTTAGACAGGGATGAGCTGCGTGCTGTAAGTCGAGTCAAGCAGCAGCCGCATTAACCCGTGTATCCGTCCTGTATATAGCACTGGTGGTCGTATTTTGTAGTAGTAGTGAGTAGCTGTGGTCTGTTAGGGAGAGGAGGCGTGCATGTAGGTTGCCTCTCTACCTTAGTAGTAGTATTGACTAGCAACGTCACTTACACCAGCATAAGATGGATTTCACCGCGAATATTTCCAACCATCTCGCCTCATCCACGCTGTGAAACAATACAATTGCAGCTTCGCCACCAAGTCCTGCCAACAGCCATCCATCCTCTCCCAACGGCTCTTCATGGGATTTTTGTACGACACAATAAGCCTGCATTCATCCCTACCTTAGTATCCCTCTCAGCCCCCAGCACTCGGCCTCTACACTCTCCCATCCTCATCCACACGTTGGCCAAACGGAACTCGGCCAAATGCAAGAGAAAAAAAAGAACATCAAAATAGCCGCAGCAGATCAAAATAAACGCACTAAAAGAAGTAAAAATTTCGTTTCAAAAGTGCCGGGTCTCCGAATCGTTTCAACCCATATAGTACGACCTGTACAGAGGAAAAGTACGTACCTCGCCCATCTTCTAAGCGCCCCAGCGCCATTTCCGCGCGCCTATAGTACCAACCCGGAGTCCAGTACAGCACCCCGAAAAACCTCGCCGCCTGACATCCAAGGCCGCACACCGCGCCGGCGTATTCTCGGCTAGCTCCCGCGCCAGCAACTTTGGTAGGTCCCTAGCTAAGACAGTTCAAGTTGCGCCATTGGGAATCTCGGGGGTGCTTGAAGCTACTACGCAACTCTGCATATTCGCCAGCCTCGGAGAACACAACAAAACTACGGAGGCTCTCTTGGTTGTCCATCCCTCTCCCCTTCCTCTCTTCTTCTTCTTCTTCTTTTTGCTCCTCTTCGGTTCTCGTTTTCCCGAAGGCGAAATCGCCGAACCATATCGTTCTCGTCTTCCGATTCGCGTGTTTGAAGCATCGCACGCCCCGATTCGCCCATCATGAAGCCCGTCGTTAGTTCAATGCAAGCTTGGTCGTGGTACGTCAAAGAACACTTCTTCGGCACGCCGTCTCCGTCTCTCGCGAAAGGAACAGCACCCGAGATACAGCAAGATGTTTATTGAGGAAAGCTTCAAGCTAACTGATTGTCCGGCCAGCACCGTCATCTCCTTCTTCGCAATCATCATCCTCACCGTCCTCGCCCTCCTCTTCCGCTCCAACCACGAGCAGCTCATGGGCAGCACCAACGACCCTACCGATGGCAAAGCCGTCTCTCAAACCGTCTTCACCGCCGTCTTCGTCTACATCGTGCGTTTCTCTCCAACTTCGAACCGTTTTTAAACATGGGGTGGGATGTTGTCTGTTTTTGCTAATCTGCTCCTTTTGTTTTTTTTAGGGATTCTTTGTGTTTTGCGGTCTACAGGGCATGCTCCACGTCCGAGAGAATAGAAGGGGCGCGATTTCTTTGTGAAACCGGAACGGGTTCAGCGGATTCTTACGACGATGAAGAGGCAGCAAACGGGCGTTTTTTGGAAGTCTTTGTTTTTCTCTCTCTTTCCATTTGGTCATTCAATGTTTGCTTCTGGCCTGATGCGAGTTTTTTTTTTTTTTTTTTTTTTTTCAACTGGCGGAAGATTGCATTGGGGCGACGGTTGTACGGTACGAGGGCTGAGCAGTACAGCTTGCCGGGTGTAACATGATAGGGGGGAAAATGAATACTGTGATGTTCATGCCATTAGATTATATGGGGTTCCTCTCAGCTGATTAATCTATGAAACCAGCTTCTTGTTGATCGAATCACTTTATATAATATCAATGTTTGAGATTATCATCGTGTATGCTTCGAGCATCCTCATTGCTACATCTAGGAATTGACTTGATAGAGCGCCTTTTTCAAAGATTGCTCAAGTGACTCAGTAGAATCAACGTATCAGCTCAGCTCCTAGCAGCAGTCACCAAAATGAGTATATGCAAAAATTGAAGGATCAGTTCATCGGGTAGCGTTGCTGGCACGGCACACGAAAAAGATGGGAGCACAACTGCGCCGTTGCGCCTCATCATAACACAAACCCGAGAGATTGATAGAAATCATACTTGTGTCGTGAACCTGGTCAGCATCGCAGAACAAACAGCAGCATCCCAAAGTGACAAAAACAAACGCCGGACCAAAGCAAGCAAGAGAGAAAAATTCTATTTTCATGGCTCGCTGAGCGTAAGATTACACACAGGGCAGATCCGCCGACATGGCAAAGCTGCTGTAGTTGTCGTTGACCATCGGAAGAGTTGATCATATAATGAACATGCATACCCCCAACACGGTAATTGAGCGTTTTTGCCCGCTACGTCGACACCCTTTTTTTCTTCCTTCCTTCCAACTCCGTCCTTGGTTTCGGGCATGCTTCGTCGGGTGTATGATTCATTTTGTTTCAAGGAACATTTATTTCAGCTTGGACCACAGCTTAGGGGCGGCGCATGCGGTAGCGCAGTGAGCAAGGTGGAAGACTAAAAGAGCTCAAGTCAGCCAGCAGAACATATAGGAAAACCATGAGTCATGGGTCGTAATGATATCAAGTCGCCGTGTAGCACTCATGCGATTCATGACACACAAACAAGGGGGGGGGGGAATGGAGTGAAGCCACGTACACTCCTCGACGCAATCCTCCTTGGCCTCGCCCTCGCTCTCCTGCTGGTGGACTCGCTCGACGCACTCGTCGAAGTGGTGCTTGGCGGGGGAGCACTGGGGAGAGTTCTTGCACTCTGGAAAAAACACTCCATGTCAGCAAATAGCGCCCGCGAGCAAAGACAATTGTCGCCAGCAATTCCTGATGCGCATGGGAAAAGCGGAAATGCCTCGCCCCGCACCGCAGGCCGGCCGGGTTTCTCTCAAGACGACATGCGCGCAAAAAGGAACAAGACGGGGATGGAGCAATGACGAACCTTCCTCAAGCTCCTCCTTGGGGTCCTTGATCTCCTCCTCGTCCTCCTCTTCCTCTTCCTCCTCGTCCTCCTCGGCGGCGGGTTCCTCCTCGGGCTCTTCCTTGGTCTCCTCTACGCTGGCCTCGGGAGCCTCCTGTGATGTCAATCAGCCTCAAAGATCCATTGAAAACAGAGCTCTCATGCAGGAATGGGACTACACTTCGACAGAGCAGAAGCCATTTGACCGCTCATCCTGCTTTGCCACCAAAAAAAAAAAGACAAGAGACCAAATGGCTGCAGAGCTGCCCAAGTGTATTTTTTTCTTCTCCCGTCCCCCAATGCCGCACAACATCCCACCTACCTTGGGTTCCTCAGCCGGAGCTTCGGCCTCCACAACACTCCATGGCGTCACCGCCTCAACAATCTCGGAGAAAGCGTCCCAGATACCCATTGCGATGGTTTGGCGAGCGGTGATGTCGCCGTGTGATCGGTTTCCGTGTGCGGTATCGTACGGTTTTGGGTGAGCGGATTGGCAGGTCGGGAGCTGTCGGTCAAATTCGCGAAAAGCTGATCCGGAATTGAGGCATTTTGATTGGCCCGACCCAACCGACCGAGGTCACGGGACATGTCACATTACTTTAATCTTTGTCAGCCGAAAGGCAGGCAGGCTAGCTCTGGTAGCGTCGGGAGGTTATTGGCAGAGCTGGGGTTGCCCTTTTTGGCTGATCCTCACTCAAGGACTGGGGGTGTTTGAGATCTCCGATCAGCTGGGGGGCTGTATCACCCCCTTACATCCACAGCCAGGACGACGGAAGACCTGACGCCGTGTGCAGAGTGAAACGTCAACGAGAGAGAGAGCACATCACACAAGGGTGGGACAGACGCGACGGCTTCAAGTAGTGAATCCCAAAAACAAAAACTGGCATTTCATCAAGCCTGGCCCTGCAGCTGTAGGGCCCGGCGGGCTCTAATAAACCCCCTTGTCCATTTGTAAATAAAACCCGTGGTTCGAATATAATAAGTAGTACTTGTACTTCCGGTGCCATCCAAATCCATCCAAAAGCAACATATTACGGCGGCTAAACCGAGCTGTTCAAGTTGGTCCATTCCACAGAGAAGCAAGCGCAAAATCACAACAGAGATTGTTCGTAGTCTCATTAATCGTTTCGCCCAGGCTTGGCTTCGCTACGGAGCGCGCAAATTATTCCGTCTACTCTTCTTCGGCGCCGCGGTCGACCTCACCACGAATGTGGTCTTCCAGTCGGTTGCTGAGTTGCTGGGCTTGCGCCTCGTCGTAGTTTGGCGGCGGCTCGTTGGGGGCACGGCGGCTCGCGGAGCTGTCTGAGCGGTTGGGTGGTGGGACGGCCAGCTGGTCCGACGACGTCGGCCCCTGATGGCCACCCTCGGCCTCGTAGGCAGGCAGATCTTCGTCTGGAACGCTGGCGCCCATATCCCTGCGCATTTCCTGCCACTGGAAGAGACGCTCTCGCAGGCCAATGTAAGCCTCGTTGAACTCTATCATGCCGCCATCCGAGAAGGTGAACTTGACCTCAACGCGAGGCAGCTCGGGCGGGATTCCACCGCCTGACACGGGAATGCAGTCTGATTTCCAAACCCACCCCCACCACATGGACGAGGAGGTGGTTGAGTCCTGGAACTTTAGGATGGGAGCGCTGAAGGATTCGAACTTTGGCTCCTGGGTTGGCTTTGCCGGGAGGTAGATGATCTGCCAGAGACATTAGCATACACGGGCGCCCAGGCCATACGGCGTCGTTTCTTAAAAGGCTTCACCAACCCGCTTGCTGGTCAGGAAAAGCGCTCCCTTGTCACTCTTGCGCTGGAACGGGACGCAGCGAGCCCTCAGCTCCGGGGGTACAGACAGTTCGCATGATATGCGCCCATCGAGCTTGTACAGGATTGATTCATTCTGAAGCTTCACGAATCCGCCCTGGTTGAGCATAACCCAACTATCGGCACTGTTAGGATCGACCGGCCGCGGGGGAGGTGCGCTCGTGGCGCTCGGGATAAGATAGTCATGAGGATTGTTCATCGTGGGGCGGGGCCCAGGCACATGGTTCCATGAACCTCTGGGCTCGATAGCGGGGCAGAAGGAAGCCGTTGACCAGAACAACTTTCTGGCAGGCGAGCAAGAGCAAAGAAGAGATGCGAAGCAGACGTGATGGATGAAGTGGATGGACAGGTAGGTAAGACAAGGCAAGGCGAGGCGAGGCGAGGCGAGGCAAAAGGAGAGGCTCAGCAGAAGAGAGAGGACCGGAGACGAAGCTAGCTTGCTCCTGTATAGGAAGGCAGACGAAGACGGGCAAGAATAAGAAGAGAGAAGGGGGGGAGACGAGAGAGGAAGGAGAGTGAGGAGGAATTAAATAGTCTGGAGGACTCGAGCCAGGCGACGTTGAAGCCGCGCCAGCTGCAATGATTGGGAGTAGGAGTAGGAGGCACCACAGGACAAAGATGGAAAGGGGACAGTGAACAAGAGATGCGGCAGGATGGGGACAAGGGAAACGAGAGAAAAGAGACGGGACGACGGCGGCTCGCGAAGGAGGCTTACTTTATTGACATTGTTTTTTTCTTCTCCGACAAGGGTTTCGAGCAAACCCTAGCTCCTATCCGGATCGCTGGGCTAGAGCAGCTCGATGGACCGTCCACGTACAGGCACGCCGTGCAGCAGCAGTGCAGCCGGTGTGTTCTGTGTCTGTCCTGGTCCGTCCTGGTCTGTCCTGTCCTGGCCCTGGGCTGGGCTGGGAGGTGCTGGTACTAGCAGGAGATCTCGCAAGCGTCTTCGACAGACCCTGTTGCTGTCGCCAGTTGCAGTGTGGTGGGGCCGGCGCAGGCGCTCAACGTTGGGCGGCCCAAACGGGGGGAGAAGAAGGCGACAGGACCAAAAAGAGGAGAAGGGGAACAAAAAAAAAAGAGTGGCTGGGGGTGTGGGCGTGGAAAGCGTTGTGACGAGAAAGACCAGAAGCAAGCAAAAAAAAAAAAAATTGGAAAAAAAAAAAGCGACGAGGAGTGAGGAGAAAGGCAAAAGACGGAGCCAGAGGAGGGGTGTGGGGGGAAAGAAACTGCACAGCGGCGCCTGGGCCTTGGATGCTGCTGTGTAAGGTGATCTGTCAGGCGGCAGGCTGGAGAGGACGGGCGTATGTAATCCGCGGCGCGGTTGGTGCTAATCGTGCTAAATTCGGGGCACAAAGACGGAGTTGAGCTTGGGGAATAGGTACTAATGGACAGTACATGCCTGCTACTGGAAAGTACCTATAGAAGCTGTACAGTTGATAACATTTGATGAGTGTTCGTATATACTCTACCTGGTGCTATTCACTCCTCTCCGTCGAGGATGAGGATGGACTGAAATGAATCAGCAGCGTTGGGGCACTGCCTGGCACAAGTCATTCGACGGATGGGATGGCCTGGCTGGAAGCAAGGATTCCCGAGCTATCCACAAAAGATGCACACGGAGAACGGCGCAGCTAGGTACGGCAAGCATCTTGGCGGATTCTCGCTGGACACTAGCACCAAAGGGTCCCGAGCAGCAGTGTTAGTCTAGGTAGGTATAGCATTGAGTTGTCTGTCTGTCTGTCTGTTCTGTTCTTGTTGTGACAACTCGAAGATTCGATGCTACCTCAGAGGTATGCTTGCAGAGACAGAGTCACAAGTACATGCACACTCCATGCCTTGGACCACAAGCTGCTTGATGCCAAGTTCGATGCTGTAGAGGGTACATGCTCATGAATACCTCGACATCGCTTTATTGCCTTCAGCCCCAGGCAGATAAAGAGTACTAACCTAGATGCCGGACTCTGCCGTAGCTCGCCTGGTGCAAACAATTGACTGACGACTCGACTCGACTCGACTCGCCTTTGACCATGGAAGGGTGCTACCAAAGTCCGGGTACAGGACAGGGCAGCCCTTACCGCCTCCACTTCTTTAATAGCGGCTGAGAGAGTACTAGCCTTAGTGCCTTGTCCAAGGATCCATCGCCAGCATCGAACCTTGCCGTCTGTCTGTCTTCCTTGCTGTTGCTGGACTGGACTGCACAGGGCAGTAATTGCTTCTCAGTAACACTAGCAGGCAGACGCATCATCAATCTGGTCAATCAATTGGCCCTTGGTACATACTCGTATGTACAGTACAGTACCAGTATGTCCGCCCCCTCTCTCCCGCGACAAGAAGCGAGCGGCCGTGCACTCAAAGGCTCAATCTGGCGATAAGATGCTGCGACGGTAGTGAGTGCGTATGACATTGATGGAGCATCCATATTGATCAACCCGGCCAGCAGCGGCCCATTGAGCGCTGAGAAGGAATCCCATCTCCATCCCTGCCCCGTCGCACAACACCTGCTCGAGTGCAAAAGAGCAATTGACATGTAATAAAATACTGACACCAAAGGATCCATCCCATTGTCTCCCACCTATCGGCAAGTGTTGTACCGCCTCTCACTCTGCCTTGGCTGCTCCATCGCCCATGACTCAGCAGCAGTAGCAGCAACAGCAACAGTATCAGGCCCAAGCAAAAGCACACGCGGCCAAAGATGGGCAAAATGTCGATACTCTCTCAGGACTAAAAAGCAAGGCGCTCCATACGGAAGTTACTAGTAATGCTCAATCTTCTGTATAAAGCATAGCCCTGACAGCTCAGACCGACACACAGCGAGCGAGCGGCTGCATGTGGTCAGCTCCCCTAAAAAGTTCGGCCCTGGTACCTACTTCGTACCTTTGCTAGAAGATTAGCGCCTGCAGGACAGCCACGCTTCTGCTCCTCCCGGCTTCCATAGGCCAGGGCAGGCCAGGGCTAGGGGGGACCGGCCCCATAGCTCGTTTCTGCCCGCCACTATAATGGCTGGGGACTGCTGATCAGTCGATAGGCCTGTACAACCTTAATTCGAATTCTCGCCGTTTCGACGACGACACGCGCCCATGGCTGTTGGGCATCTGATCTCTTCTTCACCGGTTGCAACAGTCGAGTCGAGCCGCCCGCCGTGGGCCTCTGCCTCTGCCTCTGCCTCCGCCTCCAACACGCGCCCCCCCCCTCGTCCTGACTGACTCGCCTCAGTCAGGCGATCTCACCACCGCCCATGTACATCAAGGCCCGCGTCTCCGCGACGCAGCGCCTGCATCATCTGGCTCAATGCGATGCGCGCCAGCTAAGACTGGAGAACCACGCGGGAGCTAACAGGTGAACGCGCAGCTTGTGCAGCCCTCGATACAAGGATTCTCGTCTTGACAATTGGTCGGCTGGCTGGATGGGGGTGCGAGCCTGTCGCGTGGCCAATGGCGACTGGTCCTGACCCTGCAAACCATGCCTTCCAGAGTGGTGTCGAGCTTACCCCGTATGTGCTCCTTGCATTGCCCTAGAGCCTCTCTTTGACTGTTGTCACTCGAGATGTTCGAATCGGGGATTTACCTTGGGCGATGGCGATTACTCCGAAAGGTTAGTAAAGCGTTCAGGGGGGATTTAAAGAGGCGGGGGGGGGAAAGGGGGCGTGTTTGGGTCAAGTCTGGGGGAGACGATCACACATGGCATCAAACCCAGGCAGCACGGAGTTAAAGGTACAATGGCCAACGGACCCGACTCGCCGGCTCTGCGGCTGTTGGCTCCATTCTCCTCGTGACATTGCAACTCAACTCTCCGTACTCGTACAGAGGCATTCGGTAATACATGCCACCCAGATCAGGGGGGGTACGAGTAACGGTGGCAGCAGCCCGGGGCCTTGCGATACTCGTACTTGCATATGCATGTACAGCTATGAGGCGGCCATCGAATGTCCTCGTCATTATCTCTGTGCTGTGCGTTCATCACCTTGCCAATCGTTGTGGATGCCATCATGTCTGCAAACGGCGAATTGCATGGAATAGCATCGAATGAGCAGCAGCGGCAGCAGCAGCAACTTACTTGGCTTTGCAGGCCCAAGACGGGGGGCGGATAAGAATAGCAACAATGGGCTAGACACGGTGGGCACGCGAAGATGCGAACTGATATCCTTGTGTATCTCTCAAAAATCCTGATTTGGGCTGCATGTGCTTTTGGTTGCCCTGGCTAGCTGGCAGATTTTGTTACGAGATGCTGTGCATGGCCTTCGCGTTACCACCAATGTGTGCCCCGCGCGAAGCACAAGGCCAACCCACGGACTTACTTCCTGGATCCCGGTAAGATGTAGGTGACGTACTATAAGTTGTGCAGTTGAGCTTCAGTTGAGGCGAATCAAAGCGTCCAACAGCAAGAGTCGGTGGCTTGCCTTTGTATGCGGCTTTGCGTCGTTGAAATGATGGGGAGGGGGTCAGAGGAGAAAAAAAAGGAGGGGCGCGCGGGGGGGCGGGAGACAGCATGGAAGAGTCTGGAGGCACACGCCCACCACCGAATCGGTCATCGATCTACTGTGATGCCTACCAAGTACCTAGTAGCCACCCAGCCTTTTGATGATGATGATGCCGGCCAAAGTCTGTGAGATTTGCTCTGTGAAGCTATCACATATAGGTGCTTACTTGTAGCCATCTCTACTGACTGGATACGCCATGTTAGTACATTGTTAGTGCACTAATGTGTTTAGGAAGCCAATGGGTTCTTTCACGGAGCCATCAGCCTGCTGCCAGCAGGGCGTACGACTAACCATTTCTCCAGAGATTGCAACATTGATGCCCTCGACGTGGCCCCGGGGTTGGCTGGATCTGCAGTTACATTCAAGCATCAAGCTCTACTACTCTGCTAGTCCGAGCCTGGTATCGGCCGCGCAAGGGTAAGCGAGGCCCCAGCATCCAGCCATTCGGTGACGGCTATTTTCGTTGCCTGCTTTTGCCAGTCTCAGTCTGCTGTCATTGTGGCAGGCTGTGATTCGCATTTGGGCCCCCCTGTCGCATCTGACGAGTTCAACACAGCAGAAGGATTGCCTTGCCTCTTCCGTACAGTCGTGCCTCTGCCCCTCTGGCGCCGGGTCGGAGAGGCTCCGACTGGCCCACGAAGCCCGCAAAAGTCAGGCGATATAATGGAACCAAGATGCTGCACTCGCACACTCGTATATAACAAGTACAGGTGTTTTTCTGCTGCAATCGTCGATCGAGATGCCAGAGTTTTCAATAGTTCCAGTTCGAAACCTTGACAACTCATCTTTTTTTCCCGCCGGCTTGTCACGGCACCCAGCATCACCAATGTGCGACTCGAACCGCCCGCACGACTTGGGTTTCACACAGATCCAGCCCTCAGCCCGCCACACACATCTCCAACGCACATGCTGCTAGCTCGCCGGTCACAATAGGGCGCTCGTCAACCACATCACTTCCCGTCGCTCCCGCGTCCCCTAGAAAGGCTGGCTTGCTTGTCTGGGTGGTTTGGCTTCAGCCGACCCTCCTTTACCCCTTGCCCTGGCTGGACTGGAGCGCGGAGAGACGTCGTAGCAAATCGGGGCAGTCGCTTCGTGTCCAGCCTCACCATGCATGTCCTAGGATCCTTCACGCGGTTCCTCGTATCAACGTTTCCCTGGCGCTTCGCTTGTTCCAACTTCTATTGCTGCTGCTTCTGTTGTCACCCATTGTGCGCCTTCCAAGCAGGGAAATGCACGATCCTGCGATTAGCGCCATCCACGCGCGTCTTCGTCTTCTAAGCACTTGGTGAGAAAAGGGCTCCTTGTTAGCAGCACTCCCTGCCTCGGGTGGTAAGGGAGTTGAGCTGTCTGGTCGCTACGAGGCCGAGTTGCTGTATTGCAGGTACATGTTCGTATTGTATCAGCCCCACGAGCAAGGTCTTGCATCCCACGTCCCGGCCATTCAGGCACAAACTCTGATGCAGCTCCCATGGGGCCAGCCAACCGCAACCAATGGTGGCATCATCTGCAGGACCGATTGCCCGACAACTCTCCAAGCCTATCGAGCCCCCCTCTTCCACCGAATTCTGCCAGAGGGGGAGATGCAAGAGGTGCTTGTACATGCTGGCCCAGCAGGACGTACGGGATGGTACGGGGCCTGATTGGGGGGCCCGGGCTATTACGGCGGCTCCCGATTCTGCTCCTCCGGTCAGGAAGAGAGAAAGAAACGCCCCACTGCTGCAAACCCCCACCGTGGAACGGCCGCTGGACTCTAGTGTATGTTGCTTGGGGCTTTGTTTCTCGTCAAGGCAGGTTCATGTTCTTTCTTATTCTCCTGGTCTGGTCTGTTCTGCAGGCACTGTAGACGTACACTCGGGGACTGGGGAGAGAGAGAATGGAAGGACAAGGACAAGGCATGGAAGCACGGAGAACCTGAGAGACTGGCCGTGCCATGCCGTCCGTGCTGTGTCTCAGCCATCCCACCAGGTGCCGATGGCTGGCTGCTGTGCAACTTGGACGACTTGCACATGAATGCTACCTGCAACTTGTAATAAGTAGACGGTAGGCATAACAGCCGTACGAGTACTGTATGGACGCCACATGCAAATGGGACTGGACTGGACTGGTCATAATCCACAGCTCCATCCGGTCAACAACTGACGTAGCTCCAATTGACACATGCCGCTTGGCGGACGACAATCAGTCGGCATTCAGCCCACGGCTCAAGTCAACTCGCCTCGACTGAACTCGACTCTCATTGAAAGCTGCTGCGTCTACATGCTAGCTACTACATACTAATACCTGCAGTGCGTGATAATATGTCTTGTTGGTGTCAATTCAGCACAGTCTGTCTACCTTATCTACACCTGTAATCGAGTCTTGTCTTCGTACTCCTCAGCGCTTCCTCCAATGGCCGCCGCCGCTAGGTATTTCCGCTTCCAGTTCCATGCTTCCCTCAGCCCGCCAGCCCTCCATCGCTCCTGCCTGCCCCCCGACCTGCCATTGTCTGCTGGCCCGGTCCTACCTGCCTGCTTTGCCCGCCTGCCTTGCCTTGCCTTGCCTAGGTACCGCCTACCTCCTGCGTGCCTGCCTGTCTAGCTCGCTCGCCACAAAAACCGGCCGCCTGAGGCATCATCGTCCAGCGTTCCAGCGTTCCAGCGTCTCCAGCACGAATCATCTGCACCGCACGCCCTGGTCTGTGGCGACTCGTTCAAGGTAACCCGGCCTGGCCCAGCCCAGCCTCAACTGCTCATTTCCACTTCCATGCTCTCCTCCTTCGCATCACCGGCCTCAACCCACCCCCGGGCCCTTTGAGTTGGTTGGCGCTCACCGACTTATTTCTCGCCCCCTCAGGTGCTTCTCATTCGTGCGTCCGCGCTCCGATAACTCGGCCGACTCAGCCCGACTACGGCGAGACAAGCCCCGACAAGACACGACACGACCACGACACGACAGGAGAGGCTCCCTTCAACCAGCAAAGTTGCTGTAAATAGCACTGGGTGCTGCATATTCCCACCCCGGAACCCCGTAGCAGTGGCGGCAGATGCCTCCGTCAGTCCATCGGCCAGCCCTGGTTGTGATATTTGGGCGGCGTTTGGTGTCACATGCCACCGTGAGATCATCCCCCTTCAATAGATATCGAAAAACCGGACATCATCATCATAGCACACACGCCATGGCCCAGTCCCAGCCGTCGCCGCTTTCCAGCAGCATCATTGCGCAGCTCGAAAAGTACTCGGCGTGTGATATCTCGGACGCCCTGCTCAAGCTCAAAGTCCCCGGCGCGGGCTACGTTGCCGACCTGGTAGCATACAGCCCGCAGCAAGCGAGCCAAGCCACTCAGTCACGGGTCACCGTCGCTCCTGTATTCACAGTCTTGTTTGCTCCAAAGGGGCAGCCGGCCGGCCTTAGCGAGGGCGGTGGCAGCCTCCCGCCGCAAAACATCCCCAAGGATGTCCATTGGGCTGATTTGGCCGAACCTGGCACCTTTGCCGTGCTCAAACAACCGCCGGGTCAAACAAACGCCGTCTGCGGCGGCATCATGGCTCTCAGGATGAAAGTCCGCCAGGTAACGGGTATCATCGTTGCCGGAAGAGTGAGAGACCTGGGCGAGTTGAGAAGCACCAATCTGCCTGTAAGAATCCCCTCACCATCATTCCCCGTCCCATTCAGCCCCCCCTGTAACCTGATGTGAGCACCCCCCTCCCCTTCCTCTTCTTCCTTGGCGCCCTCAACTCCTTGACACACCTTCCCCCCATGGACGAGCTCTTTTTCACCAACCTAAACTTTGCAGATCTGGGGCTACGGCACCTCCACCGTAGGATCTGGCGGCAGCAGCATGCCCTGGGCGACCCAGGTGACGGTCCAGGTCAACGGGGTCGACATTAACCCAGGCGACGTTGCTTTCAGCGACCCGGGCAACGGAGTTGTAATTATTCCCCGAGATAAGATCGACCAGGTTCTAGAGCTTTTACCTGGTCTCGTTGCTGCAGATGACAAGGTAAAGGAAGACGTTCTGAAGGGCATGTCGGTCTATGAAGCGTTCAAACTACATCGGTGAGCGTGAGACGAGCGGCGAGTCAGCGGGCTCGGAGCGAGGGTAAGGTAAGTTAAGTTTCTTCTAAATGGTGTAGAATATTCAGGAGTTTCACCCCTCCCCCCTCTTCTACTCTTACCTGCGCGCATCGTGTTTTGGAAGAACTTGGTTACGAAAAGATTCTCTATATCTCATGAGTTGGGAGCAAAGCTTTGTGAGCTCAAATTTCGTTAATACCTATAGATGAAGTTGGCCCGCAGGCTTAGTCGTGTCATTAATTCATGAACATGCAATCATACAGAAGAACCCTTGCCCCCCAATGTTACAACAAAAGAGAGAACAGAAAAAAGAAGAAGAAGAAGAAAAAGATGATCCTTGCCCACTACCCAATATTTCTCCACCTCAAACCGGGTTTTGTTGTTGCCCCATGAGTTCAGGGAGAAGGGGGTGAGACGCCAGCAATAAAAAATACCCCCATTGGCAATCTTCTCTGATGGTTTAAGTTTGTTTTTTTCTTGCATATTTTTTTTCCTTGTCCTTGAAGGCGGTTGTTCTTTTTTTTTTTGTTTCTCACGTCGTCGAAAAACATAGAGCCATGGGGCACATTGTTTTCCTCAAATGCATAAAAAAAGAAGAAGAAAAGGCAGCTTCCCCATCATTTTGCCTCATAACCAGCCATCCTGTGGAGGCGGCTGTGGTGCCTTCTTGGAGCTAAAGTTGAGCTTGGGCATGTCGAGCTTTGGTGCGTCTTCCACCTTCTTCCGCGGGGAGCCAGACTTGACGGGGGACCGGGCATCAGCAGGCGGCCCGTATCTCACGTCCTTGACGTCCCATCCGTCCTCTGCGGCGGCGGCCACCCAGGTCCTCAGGCCGGTGTGGACGCTGCCGTAAAACTTCTCCTTGCACAGGCGCAGGCTGCCGCCCATGCAGCGCTCCCAGCCCGAAATTCGAAGGTCGGCTCGAAGGCGGTTCCTGTCGTCGGCCGTCAGAGTGCAGGCCAGGATGGCATTCATCAGGTCCAGGTGAGACGCGAGGTAATTGGTCGCGTCCCACTCCACGCCGCCCACATAAGGGGCAGCGGCCACCGGGGCCTTTTCTTGGGGGAAATGGCGGCGCATGTATGCATACTGCTCGTCGTCGTTGTTGGTAAGACGGCCCATGCCTGCATCGCCTGAGCTGTCCGCGTCGGCCGTCAGCGCCACCACGTTGAGGTGATGGAGAAAGATCCAGAAGACTTCCTTGGTCACGCTGACTACCTCCTTGCACCAGACGCGGTAAGGCCGGTCTTGTCTCATCTCCATGACGAAGGGGAGCGGTCGAGCTGACTCCTCCGGCTCGGGGTCCCGCAGGTGTCTCAGGACGCTCCTGGCTCTGATGACGCGCTCGGCAGACGAGGCGGACTCGATGTACGTATACAGTACCGACGTGACAATATTGCGCGTAGTAAACTCGCTGGGGCCCTTCTTCTCCGGGTCGAAGAGTAGGTGTAGTAGTTTTGGGAAGAGGTCCGCCTGGACCAAGTGGAGATACTTCATGGCCTTTGCCGTGGTGGACAGGGCCTTGAGACAGAGGAGATTCTCGTGGAGGAGAGCATCTTCGTGCTCCTCTCTATTTCATCAGGTTAGACGAGCCACGCCACAGAGAGAGGGGGGAGAGGGAGAACGGAATGAAAGAGAGGAGGAGGTAAAAAAAAAAAAAACATTACGTGACGGGACATGGCAGCTTACCTCCATTCCACCTCCATGATGCGATTCAGCAACCCGACGATTTCCTTCATCCCCCCGTGTTGGATAAACTCTTCGATCCAGGCAACGGTCTCGTTCCGCAGCAGCAGCCTTAGCTTGTGAAGCTTGCCCACCTCAAACTGCTGCGGCTGGCGCACCTTTCTAAGGTACGCGACATAGTCGGCCGGGCCCTGCTGGAGCTTGATCTTGGACAGCAACGTGCTCCCGGCGGACGAGTTGCCGCTCGAAATCGGCCGGTCGCTGGCCACGCTGTCGGCCGATTTGTTTCTGAAGTGACGGCCCAGCGTGCTCTCTCCCTTTGTGGACTTTTTCGATGACGAGCGGGCTTTCGACGACGAGCGGGCCTTTGACGTCGAGTGGCCTTGCTGCTGCTCCTTTTCCTTTTTCGCTCGAGAGAATGTGAAGCTTCTGCCGCGATTGCGCTTGGGCTTTTCCTCCTCTCCGTCGGAAACGACGGCGGAGTCTGTCGCGGCGGCGGCGGCGGCGGCGGAAGAGGAGGAGGCGGAAGCAGCAGGGGCGCCGTTGGTGCTGTTGCTGAGGCTGGTTCGCGGACGATCCTGTTGTTTGCGCTCCAACTTGGCGGCCCGCATCTCGGCCCAATCCTGTCTGATAAACTCCATCTTGATGGTATCGCTCAGGTTCCGCATCTTGTAGCGCTGGTTCTCTGGGATATTTCGACGGTCTAGGAGTGCCTCTAGCTGCTTGTTGATGTCCTTGAGGTCGAGGACGTGACCTGCCGTCGTGGGCGAGCCGCCTCGGGGGGTCGACGTCTCTGATTTGGATCGGCCATGGCTGAAGCTGGCAAAGGCGCCAAAGACCTTGCCTCGTTCGCGAATGGACTTGCCCTTTGACGATGCCGACTTTGACCCACTAGGCGATTCCGACTTGATGGACGACTTCTTAATGTCCTGCTGTGACCTGGTGGGATGCATATAAGTACGCGGCCGTTCCTTGGCCATTGAGCGCCTCTCGGAAGAGTTCCTCGAACTTCTAGTTGGGCTTGGGGGTGCCAGAGAACTCATGGACTCATTGTTGGCGAACTGGGCGTAGACTGGCAGGGTGGCACTGCGCGGCTCATCCGGCGTTCTATTTTCCTTATCCTTTCCCGACTGTATGTCGTCGCCGTCCGTCACCAGCTTGTGCAGGCTCTTGATCGTCTTGGGTCGGCCGAGAAGACCGGTGAGCTTCTCGCCCGACTTTGCCTTCTTGGGGCTCTTGGTCGGAGACGAGTCGCGCGACTTGGTCATGCTGAGGAACAGGCTCTTCTTGGTGGGCGATTCGTCGCGGGCGGCGGGCTCGACATCTGGCCGGCGTTCGTCTCGCGATTTGCGGGAGGGTCTTGGGGCCGGCTCTAGCTGGTTATGCTGCAGCTCGCCGAGGGCGCTCGGGTTGTGGCTGTGCCTGGCGAAGTTGCCGACGGGCATGATGTTTGAGAACTGGGCCTCCAGGGGCGAAGCTTTGGGCAGCTGCAGGGCGTCGTTGGCGGACTGCTCTCGGCGGTGGATGAACTTTAGGACGGACGGCTTCGATCGGTGGCCGGTGAAGTTGGCCGTGGGATTGTTGTAGACGCCATTGCTCGAGGCCATGGCACCCGGCTTGCTGCGTCGAGCAGAACCCGGCTCTCTATTTTCCTTGATCTTTCCTTTTTCCTTTTTCCTTTGCCCCCCCCCTTTGTTCTCTCTGTCTAGGGTGCGTGTATCGGCTTCCGCGTTGCACAACCAGGCCGTCCTATGCGAAAAGCTGCCTGTTACACAAACAACAAGACAGGAATTGTATTGATTGTCTCGGATTTGGGGGGTGAGGAGGGGAGGAGAAGTAGAAGCACAAGTAGAAGTAATGCGGTGGAACAGATACAGGAAGGTATAGCCGGCTGATACGATGATGACGATGACGATGACGATGACGATGACGGTAGTAAAACGCGACAAGAGCTAAGGCGAAGAGAAGGAGAAGAAGAAGAAGAAGAAGAGAAGAGAAGAAGAAAACAAAAAGAAGCCCGTCACGGGCCAGAAAGGGGAATCTGGCGATGGCTTTGATGATGATGAGTTGGGATGACGGAAGCACAAGCAAAAAAATAAAGGACGAAAGCGCGCGCCGAAAGGGGATGCCTCGAAAGCTACGAAAGGCAACGCGGCATTGCAGAAGGAAGGAAAGGCTTTGGGCTCTTGCTTGTGTCTCTTTCCGGTCGGGGTGACCCTTTTTTTTGACCTCTGCACAGCAACCTTGCCTTTTGCGCCTCGTTACTTGTACATGTTCTTTTGCAAGAGGACGGGCATTGCGTCAGGTGGAGAATTTGGGGAGGTTCCTTTAGGGGAGCGCCGAAGCACTTTCAGGGAGTCGCGCGGTCGGATTTGCTTTGGCTGGGCTGGGCTGGGGGGGGGGTTGGAAGTGGCGGGCTGTTGTTGATGTGGGGGAGGCGGTTGCTGGGGCAACGGGGAGAGCGGGTGACATGGGGGTGGATGGTGGATGGTGGATGGTGGATTGGGAGGGCATGCAAGCATTTTGGGGGATTGTGCAGTAGTCCGTACGGTACCTTTGACTTTTGCTACTGTTGCTGCTAGTGCTAGTGCTGGTGCTAGAGGCATGTACATGTGCGTAGGGACCTTTTCCTTTTGCATTGGGTCTACCTGGTGTAGATGGCTTCTGCCGGATGAGGACATGCAAAGCTGTAGGTAGAGCATATACGGATTAGGACGAAAGGAGATGCTACAGCTACAGCCACAGCTACAGCTGCCCTGTGCTGAGCTGTGCCGTGCTTAGCTGGCCAGTGCTCTTTTTTGGGGGGCGAGGCGACTAGAAGTACCCGACTACAGTAGAACACTTGGGTAGAACAAACGCGGAACCGGGGGGCGGTGCTGAGCCCGGGGCTGCGGGTTGCTTTTTCCCTGGCGGCGTTTTTGGCGTGGCGGCGACAGTTGAAGAGGGTGCGTGAGTGAGACATGCAGCAACAAAACGATGTGCCGGTTTCTGGGGAAGGCAGAAAGAAGAAGAAAAAGGGACGGTGACTGGCTGACTGACTTGTGTGCATGTGAACGAGCAAGTGAGTGACGTCTTTTTTTCTCTCTTCTTTTTCTTTCTGGACTGTGGTGGGCTATGATGTACATTTCGGACAGGGAAGTTTTGACAGAGAGAGAGGAAGAAAAAAAAAAAAAGAAAGAATGAGCAAGGGAGTTGAGTGTGATTGTGACGAGATTGAGAGCGGCATCTTTCGTCACACGGCGGGGCGGGCTGCGTGTGTTTATGTATCTTGCGTCAAGTGAGGTGAGCAGGTGAGGCGATTGGTGAGGATGGCGTGCAGGAGGAATCGTGGCATTGGCGAATTGCAAGGCGGTTGGTCAATTGGCGGTCTGGTTGGGGGTCTTTTGTTGGTCTTGAGGATGATTTTGGACAGAGGGGGACCTTGAAGATGCATATGCGCGTATGTATGTGTATGTGCGTGTATATGTAAGTGAGTATGTAAGTGTGTCTGTAATGTATGTTACGTGTTGTACCGTGCCATGTGTACGTGTGGCATGAGAGAGATAAGAGAGAAGGGGGGCGGATGCTCGGCGGTCATCCGTGCAAGGAAGAAAGAAGGAAGAAAAAAAAAAGGCATACATTACGAATGCCTGAGTCAAGTTTGGGCGCACGTGTGAGTTATCATTGCTGGGTGAGATGCAGGGGTGTGAAGGGGAAACGGGAACAATGGGAGTGACGATATGGGCATTGACCAAGCTGAAGAGAAGAGAAGAACAAACAGAGCAGAAAGACTTGAGGGTAGAAGAAGGCGGGAAAAGAGTGAATTCCCTGTGCTATTTCACGCTGATATATAATGTCTCGACTCGGTTGTTGCCGGGTATCTTGGTATGGAAGAGATAATTGACGTGTCACTGCGCTTCATGTGCGTATACTACCTCCTATGTCTCACGTCTTGACCGTAGTCTGCATGCATGCAAGCAGCAAAACAACAGCATAAGAGTCGACTTACTCCGAGCAAGGGGCTTCTATCAAAAAACACTTACCACTTTACTACCATGTCGCCATTAAAATACCAAAAAGGTGGAATTCATTTGTCAATTGCAGTCTATGCAGCCTGAGCGAATTACCCAGGTAGGTAGGTCATGTTATCCCATAACCTCCATACATGATACATGTGATTCTCCCCCTCAGCTTACTGTCTCCTTCTTTCTTCTTTGCTTACAATACATTCCATAGCCAACGCGCGCAACTCTTTCATCATACATGATCCAAAAAAACAACAAAAATTCATCGCTAAACTATCTTTCTTGCTTTGCTTTCACTTTTTCTCTCTCTTCCTTTTCCTTTAAAACTGCTTGCCCTTGTATCCCTTGGGCGCCAGCACGACATTGTACTCGAGATCCAGCTCGGCCTTGTCGTCGCCCTTGAGCGGCTTAAAGTCGATGATGAGGTCGTCCTTGACGGCGAAGACGGTGTCGGTGGCCAACCAGGGGTCGTCCTTGGGGTAGAGCTGGGTGGTGCAGCCCTTGTACTCGGGGTGAGTGACCTGGATGGATCAATGTCAGTGTTGGGCCTCCTTTCCATGCTGATTTCTTCCTTTTTATATTCATCTAGCGGATACTCACCATGATGTGGATGTGGGCAGGGCGCATGGGATGCCTGTCCATGAGCGACAGCAGCGCATACGAAGGCCCATCCGTGGGCAGCGAGTACGCCGTGGGATGGTAGCAGTAGAACCAGTATTTGCCGCTCTCGTCGGCCTTGAACTTGCCGCGCAGGTTGTTGGGCGTCTGGTTCTCCGGGTCCTGGAAGTCGTACTTGCCGTTGGCGCTGGCCTGCCAGATGTCGAAGACGGCGTTGGGGATGGGCTTGCCGGTCAGCAGGTCGGTGATGGTGCCGTGCATGAGGGCGACGCGGCCCGAGGGGTTTGGATCCTGGATGATGGAGGCGCCGTTGTCGCGGAAGGGGGCGTTGGGGGACCAGAAGGGGCCGAGGATGGAGGACGAGGTCGGGTCGACGTCGCCCTCGGCCACGATTTTGTTGGCGATTTCATCCACGAGGCTGCGTATTCGCTGTCAGCACATCAACAAGAACGAGGCTGGGAGCAAGGACAAGAGGACAAAGACTCACGACTCCAGGCCCAGCACATCAGACACCCGGTGCGCCTCGTTGCGCGTCTTGGTCGAAATCTGGCCCACGGCGTTGATGAAATGCACGCCCGTCATCCACTCGTCCACCGTCAGCTCGACCTCGCGCGCAAAGTCGTGCAGGTGCCGCAGCAGCGAGCTCATGACCTCGCGGTTGCGCGGCGTCATGTTGGGGCCCATGGTGTCGATGACGCGCTGCGTAAAGGTTGGGTCGAAGCGGCTGCTCTGGCCGTTGGAGCCGTTGGAGGTGCTGCCGTTGGTGGCCATTTTTGCTTGATGATGTGGAAAAGATGTAGATGAGAGAGAAGATGCAGCTGTTGTTGTTATATATATATACCGAGATATCAAGAGAGTCTATCTTGAATTGGGAGGATGAGTGAGGTTGCGAGTGAGTGAGAGATGCAGATGGACGGCATCCATCACTGATATATATAAAAAATAGAATAGCATAGTATATACTCCGTAATGAGTATTCTAATTAGTGTCCATCCAATACCACCACTGCTAATCCAAGCAAGCAAATCTCCATATCCATCCATCCCACTTTGATCTCACATGCCATCATCCCCATCCCCATCCCACAGGCGGATAAAGGCTTCGTCTCTCTCTATCCCACCTCCGCGCCACCCCGTCGTCAGTGGAACCCCCCCAGCTAAAGACTGGGACCCCCCCAAAAAAACCAACGGAAAGCATGTCCGGGAGCTGATGTCGGGACTCGTGGCGGTTCGTATCTCCTGGTACTACCGCAAACGCTGCAGGGGTGGGTTGCATGCCTTTGCAGTACCTACTGTACTCGCAGGTACCTGGATAGAATCATGTACAAACCACATGGCGACATTTCTGTCTGCCTCCCTCTCTGTAGGTAGTATTTACTTTACCTTTTCTAATACTTTTTACATACAACTCATCCAGCAAGTAACATTCTCTCATCCTCTACTCGTAACACTCAAACACAACGAAAATCCCCTCCCAATCCAACCAACCAACTAATCCGCCCCCTCCCCTCCCCGGATCCCCCTTCCGGCCCCCCTTCAAACCAACTTCACGGCTACATCCTTTATCTACCCGGCCCATTCCATTCCATTCAATTACCGAACCTACAAACCGGCGGCAAAGAGCCCCTCACTCTCTTTAGCGCCTCCCCCACATTTTCCTTCTTCTCTGTAGCACTTCTTTTTTTGTTTTCGCCCCGCTATTGGATTTCTCCGGATCCAGCGCGCGGCAACGATCCAATGCCCTTGTTTCCAATACTAACTCACATTTTCATGTGGCATTGTTAAAAGAAAATTCCAATTCGGCGCCCCGGATATGGCGGCGCTAGCAATGGAGGGGGGGAGAGAAACCAAAAAAAAAAAAAAAAAAAAAACGCGGCACTAGCTTCGGGATGTTGGAAGCAGCAACTGCAAGCGACGCAAGCGACGATGCATGGGTAAATCAATATCCTGGAGATATTAACAAGCAATTACCTATCCCGTTGATGCTACACTGGGACCCCCCCGTTCGACCTATTGATTCCAAGTTTGCCGTTTCATCGTCATGCGCAGATGAAGCCATCACGCTCTCTTGTCTTTTGTCATCGTAATCTCGGCTCCTGCACACGGTTCTTCTCTCGCAATCCCTCACTCTCACTCTCACTCTCACTCTCAGCTCATCCTCATCCCGCTCCCCAACGCATCTCACACGTCGCAAACCAACAAGGTCGACAACAACAGCAACGACACAGGATGCCCGTCCATCACCTCATGGTCGGCACGTGGACGCCTCCCGGCGCAATCTTCACTTTCGCATTCGACGACGAGGCCCTGACGCTCAAGCTCATTGCGCGCACCGAGCTTGCCCAGGACGAGCCCATCTCGTGGATGGCCTTTGACGTTGGTCACGGCTCGCCAAACCTTTGATTCCTCTTCACTCCGAATATACTGATGCCAACTTTATTCTTCTATAGCATGAAAAGAAAGCCATCTACGGCGCCGCCATGAAGAAGTGGTCCAGCTTCAAGGTCAATTCTCCCACCGACATTGTCCACCAAGCGTCTCATCCCATGCTTCACCACCGTGCGTTCTCACTTCTCAATATAGCTATATTCAACTCTCATCTAACAAGACAGCCCTCGCCGCATCCTCCGAAACAAACACCCGCGCCATCTTCCTCCTCCCCGCCCGCAAGCCCCCCTACGCAGTCTACTGCAACCCCTTTTACAAGCACGCCGGCCACGGCTCCGTCTTCACCACCGACCCCAGCTCCGGCGCCCTCGCGACAAACATCCAAAACTACGAGTACCAGCCAAACAGCGGCATCCACGGCATGGTCTTCGACCCGGCCGAGACGCATCTCTACTCCGCCGACCTCGCCGCCAACAAGCTCTGGGTCCACAAGAAGCTCGACGCCTCGTCCCCCGAGCTCCAGCTCGTCGGCTCCGTCGACTGCCCCGACCCGCGCGACCACCCGCGCTGGGTCGCCATCCACCCCTCGGGATCCTACCTCTACGCCCTCATGGAAAAGGGCAACCGCATCTGCGAGTACCTCATCGATCCCCAAACCCACATGCCCGTCTTCACCCACCGCCACTACCCCCTCGTCCCCCCCGGCATCCCCGACCGCTGGACCCAGTACCGCGCCGACGTCTGCGCCCTCTCCCACTCGGGCAAGTATCTCTTCGCCTCGTCCCGCGCAAACAGCTTCGACCTGACGGGCTACGTCGCCGCCTTCAAGCTGTCCGACACCGGCGCCATCGAGCGCCAGATTTGTCTGAATCCCACGCCCACCAGCGGCGGACACAGCAACGCCGTTGCGCCCAGCGACTGGTCCGACGAGTGGGTGGCCATTACCGACGACCAAGAGGGGTGGCTGGAGATTTACCGCTGGCAGGACGAGTTTCTGGCGCGCGTGGCGAGGGTGCGTGTCCCGGAGCCGGGATTCGGCATGAATGCTATTTGGTACGATTAGACATGACAAGGAGGGGGCGGCAAGAGTTGGACAACTTCAAAGTAATAGAATGATAGAGTCCAGACAGACCAAAGGACGAAGAAGAAGAGGAAAAAGGACATGTAGAGCATATCAAAGAGACATGTAATATTGAAATAAAAGAGAACAAGGGCTTGTCTTCTCCGTAACGAGGAGCAGCATCCGAACCCTTTCAAAACGCTAATATATAAATCGTTGAAAATGGGGAACTGCACTTTTTGCGACCCAGTGACCAGCATAACATTTTTTTGGGTTTCTCTTTTGACATCATCCATTCTCTGTCGTGTTTCCTCCTGTTCCATGCACACTCGGGATCTGCATTTTCGTATCACCGCCGCTCACTTGCACCGTTTTGCCCCTTGCCCAGTAACGGCGTGTTTTCATTGTGCTCATCCGCGCCCTCTGCGCCGATAGCAGTCACCTTTGCGTCAGGGGTCGTGGCTGTCACCACCGTCGTTCCCAGGCCCTGCTTGATCTTGAACAAGCTTCCTCGTGTGCTGCTCAACGGGTTCGCCGCGCGGTTCGCAGGGCCAAGCTTCAGCTGCTGTCGCATCTCGTCGAGTGAAGCCTTCACAGGTACGGTGTTTTTCCCGAGGCGACCGTCGGGTCCTGCTGAGTGTTGGCGCTTCATAAACACGGCAGTTTTGGGAGGCCGCTCAAAAAGGTGGCCCGAGTCGCTCTTGTAGGAGCCGACTTCGACATCCTGACCTTCTGTATGCTTATGGTTATGGTTGCTGCCCGCATGGTCTGGCGTCTTCCTAACCGCCACACCCGCGCCTGGCACGTCGCTGTGTCTACGGTGAGCTCGGGGAGCAGGGGTCAAACGCCGAATTGCCTTGTGTACGTCGACGTAGACATCTGATTCGTCAACAATTTCCCTGCATGCCTCGTGTCAGCAACTGTAAGAGTGCGCCACAAGCAGTTGGGAAAAAAAGATAAGAATAGGGAGGGGAGGAAGAGAGAAGATAGGGGAAAAGGGAAACAAAAAAAAAAAGTCCCATCTACTCTACTCACTCTCCAATAAGCTCTTCAATAACATCTTCCAAAGTGACCACACCGAGAGCGCCGTGGTTAGAACCGGGAAATTCAGAGACCAGGACCATGTGCGATTTGCCTTCTTGGAAGAAATTGATTATGTCCAAACAGCTCGTCTCGGGGCGTGTTTCCACAACAGCTCCCAACTGCACGTCCCTAACCGGAATCCGGTCCTCAGGGTCGTACGTAATGAGCGTCTTGACAAGAAGCATGCCCACAAAGTCGGTCGGTTTGCCTGAGCGGTAGATTGGAATTCTCGAGTATCCGGAAGAGAGTATCGTATCCATGGTGGCCTCATCCAACACGTGGTCCTCGGCAAGAGTAAATACGTCGTCCATGGGCGTCATGACTTCCGATACGGGCTTGTCCTTGAGATCTAGAACGGCGGTGATGATGGTGACCTCGTCCTGGTTCAATCGTTCCGACACTTCGCCAAGAGACTTGTGTAGCGTCACGAGCGTCTTGAGGCCGCTCTTCTTGTACAATGTGCCGTGATCCTCTCCTAGAATCCAATCGAGCAGCTTCGCGGTGGGCCATGCCACTGGGCCCAAGAGGTACATGAGAATCAAGACGGGCGTGGACATGTATCCGCCAATAGGCAGGCCATATCTCACGCACACCGATTGAGGCACGATTTCGCCAAAGATGACTACGCTCAAGGTTAGTCTTGGTGCACGCGGCAACGGAAGCAAACAGACAATAAAGGACAAGGATAGGCCAGGGGTGCTCACCGATAAGAATTGTACTACCCACGACAGCGGCAACACCGCCGCCCAAGAAGCGGTCCAGCACCACAGGAAGCGATTCGTTGACGATGACGTTGGCGAGCAGCAAGGTGACGAGCACCCAATGCTTTCCGCGGTTGAGCAGCTTGAGGACTCGTTTTGCGTTTTTGTGTTGCGGTTCGTCGGGGTCGCCGGATAGGACCTGGAGGTAAATGGAGTCTTGGCCCATCAATCTGCCGCAATGTCAGTTTCGCATGCCTTCGGATGTGTTGGGTTTGGGGCAGACGTACGCGATAGTCAAGCCTGCAAAAGCACCGCCTAGGAGAACCAGCGTCATCGACGAGACGGCCAGCACCCACACGGGGGTGTTTGTGTCATGGTGGTCGGGCGCCGCCAAGGACGACACTGGTGCTGCCGAAGCCGTCAAGCAGAGACCGAGCACTCGCCCCAAGCCGAGGACAGCAGGGCGGAAGCTGGCAAGCCCTCCGGTTGCTCCTCTCCTCGGCATAGCAGGATGAGTTTCTGGCTGACTCGGATCGAGCGAAGAATGCGTAGACCGCCGGTATCGAGGCCGTCAAATGTCCGACCAATTGTCCTGATGAAGGCACGTTCGGTGTTGCGACTGAGAAAAAAAGGACCCGCAGTCACTGGCTGCTGACGGTCGCGGGCGAATGTCGCCAAAAACGCGAGCTGACGTCGTCGAAGAGATGAAGGAACCAAGGACCGAGAAGGAGAAGAAGCGGAAGAGCGAGAGTGAAAAGAAGAAGCTCGTCTGCCAAAGTCAGCGCCGATTCCGATGCCTCGTGGGGGGTTTCCAAAGCCCTTGCGCAACCTCGCGAGGTTTTGATGATGAGAGAGTTTTGGTTGGATGTAGCCAGCAGGAGAGTCGTCGGAGCTCAGCACAACTCGGGAAGCTTTTTGGGACGCTCGAGCCTTCTGTGGGCCGCTGGAAGGTTAGCGGCCTCGGTGGAATCCAGTGGACCGTGCGCGCTATGACGACTGGCCTGGTTCCTGCGCCAAAAGCGGCCCCACGGCTCGGCAGTACGGCAGCGTGTGCTGGAGAGCGCACTACGGCCGATGTACACTGTACGTACCTGTCCATTAATGTGTATGCCCTCTACCTGCTCACACATGCTCCTATTCCACTGTCTTAGCATCGTATCGCATTGTTTGCAGCTGATTGATTCAGAATAAAAACACTAATCAAATAGAGTAGTATCTAAGCTGTGCTCCAACGTCTCTCTTTCTCCGGCAAAGGCATGTGTCTAAACCAATGGCTAATCGATAAGGTGCAATCACAGCTGCACCAGCACCACGTCCAACACTCCCTCCGACCTCCTCAATCCCTCCATCACCTCTTCATCCACCAGCCTGTCTATTCCCAAAATCATCAAAGCCTCGTTCCCCCTTGTCACCGCATCTGCCTCAGCTTGCTTCGAGTCTTCGTCTAAGCTGGCGACCTGCATGAACCTGATATTGATCCCGTGAGAGCCCAGCACCATGCCGACACCCCCAATCTTGCCCGGCTCATCATAATTGTGCAGGAAAATCATCGTCCCCTCCGGAGTAAACGTCGCGTTGAAGCGGTCCAGCTTGGAAATGTACACCCGTTTGCCCGAGGCGTATCCCTCAATGACTTGCTCTCCGCTGCCGTCCTCCGCGTGTGCCCTCAGTGTCACCAGGTTCGCATACGTCTGCTCGCCCGGCTGGTGCGAGTGCGTCTCGCTAATTTTGATACCCTTTTCCTTGGCAATCAGCACCGCGTTGACAATGTTGACGTGGGAGTCGCTGAACGACGCGACCAGCCCCTTGACCAGCGCCGCGTACAGCGGCTTCGTGTTGGACATTCCCGCCAAGTCGCCGTGGTAGATCAGCTCAAAGTTGCGGCCGCCAACCAGCCCTCCCTTGGTCCTGACGAAATGCTGCGTGTAGAGACGCCCCATCTTCTCAACCAGTTGCACAAACGGCTGGAGCTTGCGATACTCCTCGGGCAGGATGATTGGCGCGTTGACGGCGCTGGTGGGAAGGCCGCCTCGTAAGATCTCGAGCACTTGTGTACACACGTCTATTGATACGTTTTCCTGTGCCTCGACCGTGGAGGCTCCCAGGTGAGGCGTGGCCACCACTTTGGGATGCTTGGTTATCTGCCCAGCCGCCGAGTCTGGCTTTGGGGGTTCCGAAGTAAAGACGTCGATCCCAGCCCCTGCAATCCATCCTTCGTCGAGGGCCTTGACCAACGCTGCTTCGTTGTATACGCCTCCCCTTGCGACGTTGAGCACTCTCGCAGTCTTCTTCATCAACTTGAACTCTTCTTCACCGACAAGATCCAGCGTTGTTGCCAGCAGTGGCGTATGGATGGTGAGAAAGTCCACAACGGGTAGCATCTCCTTCAAGGTGGACGCCAAGTCAACACCCGCGTGGCGTGCCATGTCCGGGTTGGCATATGGATCGACCGCAATGACTTGCATGCCAAGGCCCTTTGCCATTCGTGCCACATTCATCCCGACTTTGCCCAACCCAACAATGCCAAGGACTTTCCGTCCCACCTCGATGCCCACGAGCTTGCTCCGTTCCCAGCCGCCCTGCTTTAAGCTTCCATCTGCCCTGCCAATATGCCTAGCACTAGCAAGTAGCAAAGCAATCGTATGCTCCGCAGCGGCGAGGATGTTTCCCGAAGGCGAGTTGACGACAATGATGCCGCGCGAGGTTGCCGCTGGCACGTTGATATTATCAACACCGACACCTGCCCTTGCCACCACGCGGAGCTTCTTGCCAGCAACAAGAACCTCTTCCGTTACTTTGGTCTCGGACCGGACGATTAAACCATGGTACCCCGGAATCTGAGAGATGAGTTCCTCGGGAGTCAAGCCCAGCTTGACGTCCACGTCAAAGTGCGGCTCCAACATTGCCATGCCGTCTGGTGAAACCTTCTCCGGGATGAGGATACGAGGCCTGCCTTCAGCAACACCTCTAGCGCCGCCATTGCTTGTTGCAATTGGGGTCATTCTTGTTTTATTTTCTTTCCAAAGTAATTATAGTCAATCAAAGGTGTGATGATCTCAACCACCGAGTATCAGCACATGTGTGTTATCAAAATTTGAACGGGATCTCAGCAACTATGTATAAGTCAAGAGTGCAGAGAGGACACACCTGAACGCGAGCTTATATCAGAAAATGCTTCCAACCGTCGTTCAACGAGAAGAAAGCAAAACAGTCCCTTATATGACGTTTAGCCACGCACCGCGACCCCTCAGTAAGCCGTGTGTCCATGGCCGCACTCGTTCAACCACGCCGGACGCCGCCACCATGCACAGTCATTTGCACCACTAACGGATAACAAACTCTCCAATCCTGGCGCCTGCCCGGACATTGACGTGGGTTGTGGCTGCATGAGAGCCAGACATTGTGTGACGAACATGACAGAATTCAGGAACACAAGATGTAATCTTGAAACCTGCAGACGACGAATCCCAGGACATCCAGGACGACGTCGTTATGTCATGCGATTTGGTACTTATCTTTCGGGGTCCCCCCACGAAAGGGCAAACACAAAACATCGTTGGACAACACCACCTCAAAACACGCCATGTGCACCTGCGGCTAATAGCCTGCGTCGACGTATGACCTCTTCTCAGCAAACACAGCCTTTGAGGATCAACCGGAGATGCGGAGAGCCTAAGCGATCGATCTTGGGGAAGCGGGGGGCACCACCACCACCTTTTACCCTTGGAGTTATCCATCTTTACCATTGGACAGTCCTGGGACAGCAACAACGGGCCGTTTTGCCGATCCCCATCGGCGACATCCATCCTTTTCTCTGGCTGAGTCTGGGTGGCATCGTCCGACTCGGTGTCAGATATCGCCTTCTGCCGAGAGTGCGTGGCCCCCCACTGAGTGACGCTCCTTGTCTTATGCTGCTGCTTGGGGATTTATGACTGCTGCCTTGGGGAGGGAGAAATGCGGTGAGACCGCTGTGTTTCGATGTTAGTGTGCCATTTGCAGCACGAATTAATCCCGTGCTGGCTGGTACTGCATGATGGCTTCGATTGAATTGGAAGCCTGTTCGCTTGTTCTCATCCATGTCGACTAGGAGCTTGGCCGGTGAGATTTGACGGGGATCGTGCACGATAAGAAAGGTGAATTGCCTGCTTGATTGTGTTGCTCAGACAACGTGCGGCCTGTCAGATTGAGCCACTTATCCAGTTGCCCTCTAAAATATAAATGCATCGTCATCCCTGCATGTGTAAACATGTATGATACATCATTTGCGCAAATTAACCAAGTCGCAGGATCAAACAGCTGCTCAGTTATTCTTCGTCCTCTTCATCATCACTATGCTGCTCCTCGCCGTCCTCGCCGTCTTCATCGTCACTCTCATCGTCATCGAGATTAGGATCAGGCATAACAATGCTGTTAAGAAAAGTAACCTGTTAAGCCACAGTTAGCATGTACTCAAAATTGGACGGAGAGAGATGATAGATCAATGTAGTAAATGGGAAAAACATACAAAACCAGACAGGCCTCTCAGCACGTCCTTGAGTTTTGCTTGCGCATCGTCACTGCTTAGCAGTTCGTCGTCAATCTTGGTCCCGACGGTGTAGTTTCGAAGCTTAAGGAGCTCTATATCACGATGCGTGACCTCGTAGCCCTAGTAATAGACAATCAGCCTACCGTTAGATGGAAACGTGGGGGAATGCAGCAAAATGACAAGACACGGCAACGGCATACCATTGGCTTCTTTTTCAGTGCATTCTCTTGATTCTTCGCCACAAAGGCTTTAACCACGCCCTCGACTCCATCTTTGGCCTTGACTGAAGGGAAAAACTCCTTCTTGAAGAGCGGGTCATCAAAGGCTCGGCGCCACCTCTGCGGCCTCTCGTCGATGCTCTGCCGCAGCTTCGTCAGGTATGCCGCCTCCGGATGCCAGAGGCCGCCACCGATGAAGGCAGACTTGGGCTCGCAGTGGATGTAATACACTGCGTAAGGACCTTTGCGGCCCGTGCGAGACCACGCGGCGGAAAAGTGAGGCTGTGTTTTGATTGAGAGTGAGAAGAGAGTCTTTTTGGAGGACGATGGAATGAAGAGTGGCCTACCTTGTACGGGGTGGGATCTTTGCTGAAGCGAATATCGCGGTGGATGCGAAATATGACGTCCTTGGCGGGCAACTCGGGGATGGTCTCGTCGACTTCAATAAGCGTCTGCGTTGTCGTTTCGACAAACGACTGCCAATCCTTCAACGCTCTCCTGTACTCTCCATCATGTGCTATAGTCTTCTTCGTCAGTCTATATGAAGGTGGAGGATAGAAGGCTGGGGTACTCGAAACACTCACCCTTAAGCCACGGCCTCTTGTTGTTCGCCTTCAAGTCCCTGAGAAACAGCATAGTGTTTTTGTGCACCTTGTGGTCCTCGTACTCCACACCTCCCGTATCTCTCATCTTCTCCAATGGGATAATCTCGACCTTTCTCGGCCCGTCATCATCCTCTTCATCATCCTCATCGTCCTTGTTGTCTTCGTCTTCAGGCACATCATTGTACTGATCCTCTTCAGATTCCTCTTTGGCTTTCTTAGCAGGACGTCCGCGGGATCTCTTTTTCGGCTGTACTTCTGCTTCCTCTTCCGAGTCTTCTTTGAACTGCTCTCCTTCGGATTCGCTCTCTGCGTGTCTAGATCGCTTCTTTGGTTGAGTTACGCGCTTCTTGCGTCCAGAAAGAACCTTCTCTTCTTCCTCGTCGTCGCTTGAACCTTCAAAATAGGCGCTCTTCAGCTGTGTGCTAGATAAGCGGCCAGATCGCCGGCGCGTGCCGCCGGCCTCCTGCTTAGGAGCAGATCGTTTCACAGCAGGCATAATTGAATATTCAAAAGCTTCGGGTGCAATTCCAGAATCCCAATGGCTAGCTACGATGAGGAAGTAAGGAAAAACAAACGCTCTTTGTTGCTACGCCTTTGTGAAGGGCTGATTCGATGTCGTCATCCATGGCGCGAGAGCGCGTCGTAGAAATGAGCTGCCTCCGCGCTATCACGTGACCAAGATTTATATAACGGGCCGCTTATAATGGATTCATACAAAGTCATCACAGCTTCGGGTGAACGAGACGTGAGAGCGGGAATCTCTCATTCTTTTCTCTACTCGGTTGATATTAGCGAATCTACGGTGAAATTGCCTCTGGAATCTTGTTCCAGCACAATGATAAGCCGGAATCTAGCCACCATCACCCTGATACCAAAAGATCACCGTATAAATCCATACAAATCCTCAGATCCGCTCATCAATTTCCCATGCTTAATCCTGCGTCTCCCAAGGCATCCTCGTGTGCTCAAACCCAGAGGCCCGGAACGTGTTTCGCATCGAGCCAAACATCTTCTTCAAGAACTCAAGATCTTGCACCTTGGCACTAACCCACTTCTCCGCCAGGCCATCCGTATTCTCGCCGTCTGGGCCCATGGCCTGGGCAGCCGTAGCACAAACCCTCGCCACGCTTTGCATTCTGCCAAACTCTTCTCTTGGGATTGCTTCCAATTCCTCAGGCAGATAGACGATGTCCATAACCTTCAAGAGACGCTGTGGGAATTCCATGTTGATGATGGTCTCGGACTCGCAGAACCGGATGAGCTTCTTCTTGTAAGATGCCCAGTTAGAGGCTGGTATGGCCGAGAGCTCGGAGGTGAGATAGATGAGTGTGCCCTCGAGGCGCTCACGGCGGCTATTGGCAATGGATGGGTTGAACGAGACCTTGGGTGGCTGCTTGTCTTGAAGTTCCTTGAGGCGAAGCAAGGTGCTTGTTATCTCGTCCTGTTGAGTGGCCAAGTCATCCGGAGTAGCACCTACGACCATTTCGAGGAGGTTCACCACTAGCTGTTCCTGGCTATCTTCTTCTTGATCCTCCGTATGTTCGGTAACCTTCTTGGCATCATCAGTCTTTTTACGCCGAGGTTTTGGAGTTGTCGCAGCAGGGTCATCCAGATCCATGGTGTCCTGCGGCTCGCTGATAGTGCTCGCTCGACTAGCCTGCAAGCATGATCTCGAGTAAGTATTTGTTCTGTGCAATGTGTCTGCTCAGAATCAACCCAGAGAGAAAGATACAACTTACCGCGCGGGGTGCGGATTTCTCATCAAGAATGAGAAGGTCATCGGCCTGAGTATCATCAGCCATGTTGTCTGTTGTTGTAGTCGGGTCGACGATGGAGTCTGAATTATCTTTGTGCAGCTCTCTAGCTCTCGCTCGCTCGTCCTTTGTGAATGCTTTCCTCGAGTCACCGTGATGATAACTCAAGACGTTGGCTGCGTCAGCTGGCTCAAGAGGGTGAAGGTGGTGTTTCGCTCCTGAAAAGACGTGATCCTTCAATAATGGTGAAAGATGGAAATTCGGCCCGTGTGGAACAGCTACGCCTATGATTCTCTTCAAAAGACCAAACGACGAGATATCAAAACGCCTCGATACCGACTCTCGTTGCTCAAGTTCTCTCTCTCTCTCTTCTTCCAGGCGCGCCTCAAATCCCCATCAACAGTCGTAGGAAACTGATATCTTCCCCCCAGTGCACACTGCAAAATCGCCTTGCGTCACAGATGGACTAAGATTTGGCAGTGATGGAAGGTAGAGAATTTCCTGGCTGCGAGTCACCTGGCTGCGAGTCACCTGGCTGCTCAAAGATATAGTCGCAAAGTATCTATGTACCTCTATTCACTGGCGCCTGTGTGACTTGCATTGCAAACACCAGCCTACTACAGCGAACATGGCCTATAAATTTGCAGCGTATTCCGCATTAGCACGTTTTATAAATACAAAACAATACACGTATCTAGCCATATATATCTTTGGCATTGTTGACGGTTTATGTTATGTCATGACATTGTAAAGTGCAAAATACAGACGAGCCGCCGCGATGGAAGAGACATACAGTTCTATCAGAATAGCTTCAATAGCAATCAACACATGTCCATCGACCAATAACTGTATAATGATACAAGTCCACAATGATCACCTTAATCCCCCCCTGAGTAGAAAAAAAAAGGGGGGGGGTTGTCTTTAAGGCTTCACTCTAACGAGATACTAGGTACTAACACAACACAACACCAGATCAAGTATTAGGTAGTAGTATATGGAACACAAGGCACTGCACGTAATTAACTTTCACATTCCATCACAGGCACACGGTCTATTAATTCAAGGTTCAATACATGCTTCCACTTTACATTTGCAAGGTTGCATTCATATTTTTGTTATAGACTAAAAACATTTCCGCGTCATAACCGACGATAACACCAGGGAACTTCTTTTGGTTCCTCTAAAAGATAAACATCTATGCAATTTTTTTTACAGTTCGTCGTGGAAGTCACCGTCGTCCTCGGAGCCACCAGCACCCTGGTACATCTTGGAGGTGATGGGGTAGGCGACGTTGGACAGCTTCTCCTTCTGCTCCTCAAAGTCCTCGGTGGTGGCGTCGGCGCCGTTCTCCTCGAGCCACTCGGTAGCCTCCTTAACAGCGTCAAGGATCTGGTTCAATGTTAGCAGCTGATAATGATATAAGAGTCATGGTTGCGCCGGGTTCAACTTACAGTCTCCTTGTCCTCCTCGTCAATCTTGCCACCAAGACCCTCCTCATCGTTGACCTGGTTCTTCAGGCTGAAAGCGTAGTTCTCAAGACCGTTACGGGCCTCAATGCGCTCGCGGGTAGCCTTGTCCTCCTCGGCGAACTTCTCGGCCTCGGCGACCATGCGGTCAATCTCCTCCTGGGTGAGACGGCCCTTGTCGTTGGTGATGGTGATGGACTCCTGCTTGCCGGTGCCCTTGTCGTGGGCAGAGACCTTGAGGATACCGTTGGCATCAAGCTCGAAGGAAACCTCAATCTGGGGAACGCCACGGGGAGCAGGGGGGATGCCGGTAAGCTCGAACTTGCCCAGGATGTTGTTGTCCTTGGTCATGGAACGCTCACCCTCGAAGACCTGGATCAGGACGACGGGCTGGTTATCAGCAGCAGTCGAGAAGATCTGGCTCTTGCGGGTGGGGATGGGGGTGTTGCGGGGAATGAGCTTGGTCATGACTCCGCCAGTGGTCTCGATACCGAGGGTCAGGGGGTTGACGTCCATGAGAACAATCTCCTCGGTACCTTCCTCTCCGGAGAGGACACCAGCCTGGACGGCGGCACCGAAAGCGACAGCCTCATCGGGGTTGATACCCTTGGAAGCCTTCTTGCCACCAAAGTACTCCTCAATCAGGGACTGAACCTTAGGGATACGAGTGGAACCACCGACTAGAACGATGTCGTCGACCTCGCTCTTCTTGACGTTGGCGTCCTTGAGAACCTGCTCAACAGGCTTGAGGGTCTTCTTGAAAAGATCTATGTTGAGCTCCTCAAACTTGGCTCGGGTAAGAGTCTCGGAGAAGTCGTTGCCCTCGAAGAAGGCCTCAATCTCAATACGGGTGCTCATCTGGGAAGAGAGAGTTCGCTTGGCCTTTTCGGCCTCACGCTTCAACTTGCCCATGGCCTTGAGATCCTTGGTGATGTCGACGCTGTTCTTCTTGTTGTAGGCCTTGGCCAGGTAGTTGATGATTCTCTGGTCAAAGTCCTCACCACCAAGGTGGGTGTCACCGGCGGTAGCCAAGACCTCGAAGACACCGTTGTCGATGGACAGGAGAGAAACATCAAAGGTACCACCACCAAGATCGTAGACAATGATCTGGCGCTCGCCATCGGTCTTATCCAGACCGTAGGCAATAGCGGCGGCAGTGGGCTCGTTGACGATTCGGAGGACGTTCAAACCGGCAATGATACCGGCGTCCTTGGTGGCTTGACGTTGGTTGTCCTACCAAGCCGTTAGCAAACTCGCTCTTTTTTTTCCTCTCCTACTTTTCAGACACCAAAGGAAAACTTACGTTGAAGTAGGCAGGGACGGTAACGACGGCGTGGGTGACCTTCTTGCCCAAGTAGGACTCGGCGACCTCCTTCATCTTTCCGAGAATCATGGCAGAAACCTCCTCGGGAGTGAACTGCTTCTTCTGGCCGTTGACCTGAACCTGGACAATGGGCTTTCCATCGCGGTCAATGACCTTGTAGGGGAAGTGCTTGATGTCGGCCTGGATCTCCTTCTCGTTGAACTTGCGACCAATCAATCGCCTGCGCAATGGTTAGCAACGTGCTCGTACAAATGGATGGTTCAACTTGTTACTGACTTGACATCGTAGACGGTGTTGGTGGGGTTGGCGGCGGCCTGGTTCTTGGCAGAGTCGCCAACCAGTCGCTCCTCATCGGTAAAGGCCACGTAGGAAGGAGTAATTCGGTTACCCTGGTCGTTGACGAGAATCTCAACCTTGCCCTTCTGCATCACACCGACGCAGCTGTAGGTAGTACCAAGATCCTGGGAGAGAAAACGTGTTAACAAGCGGCCACCAAATACCCATGGCGGGGTTGTCGACTTACAATTCCGATAACGGTTCCGTAGCTGTCCGCCTCATCGCTGGCATTGACCTTTCCGACGAATGCCAGAGGGGCGAAGAGAAGAGTGATCCAGCAGAGCAGACCCAGGCCCAAGGCCAGGGAGCTCCGTGAACGAGCCATTGTGAAGAATATGTGTGAAAGAAGGATCTCTCTAGATGCCCCGCGTAAAGTACAGGCCCGGCAGTTGTGAAGAAGAGGAAAAGAAAAAAAGAAATGCGCAGCGATCTAACGCAGCGAGCGAGCTCTATTTGTCCTCAGGCCGGTTTTGTGAACCAGATGAGGGGGTATCTTTGCTGGAGAGAAGAAGGGGAAAAAATGGGTTGAAGACGAGAGGTGACGATCAGCCACTTTATGAATTGCCCCAGAAAAAGTTGAGGTGTCCAGAAGGCTCAAAAAGGCCAGATTTCAGGTAGGTTCAAGGCACGGGTCCCTGTGCGAGCCAAACAGGGCCCCCGGAGCATTCAGCCCCACGTGACAGGGGTCTTATTTTCGGAGCCAAAGCGACTGGGCGATCTGGCACATCTTCGCACTGTGACTTGCACCAACATATTGATGATGGTTCACAGTGTAAATGTTCAATAGAGTCTGCATCCGATGTATGTACTCTGCCGCGTGCAATGTACCGTTGACAGCGCCCAGAGACCGGGCCAAACAACTTGACCTACCTAACTCGGAGCCTCTGTGAACCGCCAACACCCAGCCCATTTCCCCATTTTGCCCCTCACAAGGCAAATGTGGCCTCTACTTGTACCTCTTTGTCGCACTACGCCGCGCTGACGGAAGAATTTCGATGCTATTCCGAGAACGTGACTCAGATGGCTTCGGCTTGTCAGTGATGGAGACCCGGCGGCTTGGCTGATTAGGCACAATGCGGCAACGGAAGAGGAAGCTGCTCTAACAAACCGTTCTGGCCACGTTGTTGCTCTGCTATATGCTTACATGTACGAGGGATCTCATCTCTCCGAGTAACAGCCGCCAACGCTGTACTCGTGCTCCGTGGAACATCTATTCACACTTGGAGTAACCGGCGGCAGCCGAGTGGATACCGGCTTAGAACCCGACAGAGCCCGTTGGAATCACATCCATCTGCCACCGTGGCGGCATTGCCACGTAGTTTTGCCACAGCGAGGCTGAAGTCTACTTCGTATACAGTATCAGCAACATGTCCTGACGCTCCACTCACCATCTTGATCACTATAGCTACCTGATAAAAATAGTCGACACAAATGAGCAACTACAAAGACAGCGGCGAGTAATCCGTTCTCGGCGGGGCATCAACGGCAATGGCCTTTGTATTACTGTGGATTGGGTACTATACTCATACCAGCAGGGAATAGGCGCCGGGTATCGCGCTTCTAAACCACTTGCCGCATTCGGCCTTGTGAAACCGGTCAGCCGCCGAGAGGACCAACATCGCCAAATGGCGTACCGAATTCAACACTTGGATCTGATGTATTCTTTGTCTATCAATGTTTCTTTGTTTTGCTATTCCAATGTGCCCAGTCTATCATTATACTCGTATTCCATATAGACCCACGATTGCTCAGTGATGCTTTTACTCTAGCAAGCCGGCGGCAATGGTCTCGCCCCCGCTTCGGATGACAACCCGCTGTCCAGGCTCCAGAGGAACCTTTGCCTCCAGCTTGATCAAGACACGAGCAACTCCTCCGGGCTGTACTACCTTGGGCTTCTTTTTGATGATTTCTCCGGTGGCCTTGTCAAGCAGAGCCGCTATTGATTGAATCTGGCCTGCTGCGTGAAGTCTGCCGCGGTGGAGATCCACCGGCATGGGCATCAGATGCTCAAATGCCATGGCCTTCATGGTAAACGTGTCACCAATGTCGATAGGGTCTGTCGTGTGGCAAATTATGTCACCAATCTTGATGTGAATCGGATCAATGTTTGTCAACGCAACGCTGACGTTTTGACCGGCCACTGCCCAATCCTTGGCCTCGGTATCGAGCATGATGGACTTGATGTACGCTGATTCCCCGCTAGGTTGCACCAACAGAGCATCTCCAACTTGAATAGTACCAGAATCGATACGACCAGCAAGCGTCGTAGTTCCTTGTTGTGAGCGGAAAATCTCTGAAATGGCCATTCGAAAAGGTTTCTTCAAAGACCGCACGGTAGACGGTCCTGAGGCTTCTAGGCCCTCTATTAAAGTAGGGCCCTTGTACCAAGCCCCAAGAGCATCATCTGTTCTCTTGACAATGTTATCTCCGTTCAAGCCCGATATAGGGATGAACGTGACAGACTTTTCCTGGAATCCCAGACCTGTCAAGAAGCCGGAGACTTCCTCTGAGATTTCTTGGAACCTGTCCTGGGACCACCCAACCATGTCGAGCTTGTTCACGGCAACTATCAGGCGTTGCACGCCCAAGCTTCGTAGAAGCAAAACATGCTCTCGCGTCTGTCCTTTCAAACCCTTCTCGTAAGCTCCGGTGTTGGCGTCGATAACCAGAATGGCAAAATCCGCCTGACTAGCGCCAGCAATCATATTGGGCACAAAGTCCCGATGCCCTGGCGCATCTAGAATCGTAAACTTGGTTGATTCGGTTTCAAAATGGTTTGTGGCGATGTCTATTGTCACTCCTCTGTCTCTTTCCTCGCTTCTCTGGTCCATGACCCAAGCCAGGGCAAACGACTGTTTTCCGGTTTTCTCGGCCTGCCGGCGGTATTTATCCACCGTACGCTCTTCCACAAGCTTAAGCTCCAGAAGAAGTCGACCCATTAATGTACTCTTGCCAGCATCGACGTGACCTTGTACGACTTAGCTTCAGTGACAATGTTCTCAAACAAGGCCAATTTTGAGGGTATGGATATGGGTAAACCTACCGACTACTACAAAGCTTGCATTCTTCTTGCTAGCGCTCTGCTCAAACTCTTTGAGAACATCGAGGCCTTTGTTCTTGGGAGGTGGGGCGTCGCTGACTTTGAGACTTGAGACGCTGCTTGCAAGCCCAGCTTCTTTTGATGCATCTTCGCTCTTTTGGGACTTCTTGGGAGCTTTCGCCGCCGCCGCTGGAGCTTTCTTTCCCGCTGGATCAAAAAATTAGAATTAGCCCATCATTTCGCCTTAGCAAAATTCGAACCTTTGGCCCGGGCCGCGAGCACAATATCGTCTGGGCTGGGTTCGGAGAAAGCGGTTGCGAGAAAGGAAGGTGATTGGGTATAGGGCATTGCGAAAACATCCCGCCTGCGCGTTTCCTCTCCCTCTGAAGCCGACCCGAAAAGCGTCCGTGCAAATGCAGAAGGAGCATGACTGTGGCCTACCACCTGCTTTGCTTCTTCAGGTTTGATATCGGTATCGGGTTTGTAGTCAGTGATAGTTGGCAAGCTGGTGTCTTCCCCTAGAGAGTCGCCGGTGTTGTCTGATGTTGTCTCTCCCTTCTCTGTTTCCAAAACAGAGGCCACAGTTGAGTTGAGTTGTGAACTTTGGTCTTTGAGCTTTGAGATCGGACCAATGTTTTCTTTGTTTGTATCAGAAATAGAAAGCTTTGTCACTTCGCTTTCCAGCGGAACGGCTTTTTCTTGAGCTTTCTTCTCTTCATTCTTTTTCTTCCGCAGCGCAGCCAGGGCTTGAAGCTTAGACATCTTGGGAGCAGCACCGCTACCTCCCATAAGCCCACCACGAGGGTGCGGCGGCTCAATAAACACGGTTTCTCGGACCCTCGGTATGTCTAACCATGGCATATCGTCGAAAAAAGTCGGGGGTATCTGAGGCTTCTCTGTAGTGGGAAACGCGCAAGCGAGACGGTGGATGTCGCAAATGGTGGTGGAATATGCATTGTGCCCAGGTGATTCATCGTCTTCTCCAAAGGTTCGCAAAAACAAGGCTTGCTTGGCAGGTAAAGAGAACGCGCCGTGCTTACCTTCAGGTGCCTTCTTTGGCGCTGGTTTTGGCGCTGGCGCAATGAAGGTCTTTGTCAAATAGGCGACAGATTTATCGACGTCGTAGTAGTAATGCCATAGTGCCTCCTGTATTTGCGCGGCTGTGACTTTGCCTGCTTCCACCCCAAGAGCCTTGCGCACTTCTGCTGTGCCATTTTGCATGGCGATCTTGTCTTCGGGGCTCAGCTCGTCCTCCTCCTCTTCAAGGTCGTCGTACTGGTCGACGAAATCGTCGTCGTCGTATGTTGGAGGCGCCATTGCGATTCTGCCCACAGATTGTTTTGTCGGGCGTTACTGGAGCCTGGTTGTATGTAGAAAGAGGGCGAATCTTCGTGGTGGATTTGCAGGGAGATGGAGGAGGGTGAGAGTGAGGAATGCCTGCGATTTCCCGGCACTAGTTGTACTTCATGTGACGAAAGTTCGGGGTTGACTCATGGACTTAGGCAGACGTCGCCTCCTGGTTTGCAGTGCGCCTTGCGATGTGACGAAGCTGTTGCGAATGCTGGTAGCAAAATCTAATGTTGTAGAGACGAAAAGAAGAATGAAGAGTAAAAAGGACAGACAAGAGAATGGCCAATATTAAATCGTACAAAGGCAGTTTGTCTAGCTCCAAGTTTATTTGTCGGAGGCGCATCAAGTGCTAAACCATGCTCGTGCCTCCTTGATTAAGTCATGGAGGGGCATTTCCAGGAGCTTGATACTTTGGCGGGGTGACCGGTGGCGGACTTTTCTTAGTCCGTGTCCCGCACCCTGTGTAGTGGGAGTTGTAGGCAACTTCCCCCCAAACGGCCGAAAAATTCGGGCACGATCGTGGAAGCTTGAAGCTATACTCTGTCGCCAAATCACGGGGGATCATTCATTTGGTGCCGAGATTGATTGATTCCTGTTGTCTTGTGTACATTTGATCGCAAGTTCCCCCCAGCCAAAATGTCGCTGAGTATGTCCGAGATCAAGTCCAACGATTTGTCAGGGGTGAGGCGTGGAAACTAACAGACACGCAATTTAGATCTAGATGTTTCCAACGGTAAATCGATGCTGGCCCGACGATGACCTCGAGACCACAGCTAATATCCAACGCGCAGCGGCGGTGATTAAGGATGAGCAAGGTCGGCCCTTCATTGTCGTCAGAGAGTAAGTTCCAGGACGCCGTGCGTGCCCCTCGACATCATCTAACGGCGGTCTAGTCAGGGGAAGAAGAAGCGCCAGTTTGGCAACGAAGCTGTCAAGTCACACATCCTCGCCGCCCGAACAGTTGCCAACCTCGTCAAGACGTCACTCGGCCCTCGCGGTCTCGACAAGATCCTAATCTCTCCAGACGGCGACATCACGGTCACGAACGATGGAGCCACCATTCTCCAGCAGATGGAAGTCAGCAACCACGTTGCCAAGCTGCTGGTGGAGCTTTCGAAATCACAAGACGAGGAGATTGGTGACGGCACTACGGGTGTGGTCGTCCTGGCGGGCGCCCTCCTGGAGCAGGCCGCTGACCTCATCGACAAGGGCATCCACCCTATCCGCATCGCCGACGGCTACGACCAAGCCTGCGACATCGCTGTCGCCGAGTTGGACAAAATCTCAGATACCATCGAGTTTACAAAGGAGGAGACTTCCAACCTGCTCAAGGTGGCGCGAACAAGTTTGGGAAGCAAGATTGTCTCCAAGGCTCATGACCAGTTTGCCAACATTGCCGTTGACGCCGTTCTGTCGGTGGCTGACCTCGAGCGGAAAGACGTGGATTTCGATTTGATCAAGGTCGATGGCAAGGTTGGTGGCGCTCTCGAGGACACCATTCTTGTCAAGGGCGTGATCATCGACAAGGATTTCTCTCATCCCCAGATGCCCTCAGAGGTCAAGGATGCCAAGATTGCCATCCTGACATGCGCTTTCGAGCCCCCCAAGCCCAAGACCAAGCACCACCTCGATATCACAAGTGTAGAGGAGTTCAAAAAGCTGCAAAACTACGAGAAGGAGAAGTTTATTGAGATGATTCAGCAGATCAAGGACACTGGCGCCAACTTGGCCATCTGCCAGTGGGGTTTTGATGACGAGGCAAACCACCTGTTGCTCCAGAACCAGCTTCCCGCTGTGCGGTGGGTCGGTGGACCTGAGATTGAATTGATTGCTATTGCAACCAACGGCAGGATAGTGCCTCGCTTTGAGGATCTGAAGGCAGAGAAGCTGGGTTCCGCCGGCATCGTCAGAGAAATGTCGTTTGGAACAACGAGAGAGAAGATGCTGGTCATTGAGGAGTGCGCAAACACCCGAGCCGTGACCGTTTTCGTGCGCGGAAGCAACAAGATGGTATGAATGGTTGTGTTAATACCCTTCGAGTTTCTTTCAGCTAACATGGGATGTCTAGATCATCGACGAGGCCAAGCGCTCACTACACGATGCGCTCTGCGTTGTACGAAACCTTGTAAGAGACAACCGAGTCGTCTACGGAGGCGGTGCTGCCGAGATTGCTTGCTCTCTGGCAGTTGAGGATGCCGCCGGCAAGACCCCCGGCTTGGAGCAGTACGCCATGCGTGCCTTCGCCGAGGCCCTGGATGCCGTTCCCATGGCCCTGGCCGAGAACAGCGGCCTCAACTCCATCTCAACCTTGGCGGAGGTGAAGAGCCAGCAGGTCAAGGCCGGACCCAGCGACCGAGGAAAGCTCGGTGTTGACTGCATGGGACGTGGCGACAACGATATGAAGGCCGCCTTTGTCATTGACCCGCTGATTAGCAAGAAGCAGCAGCTGCAGCTGGCAACACAGCTGTGTCGCATGGTGCTCAAGGTTAACAACGTCATTGTGGCTGGCTCTGACGAGAATGATTTTTAAGGGAGCTTGAGTCTGAACATAGATAAGGGGTCATACAAAAAGCCTGGTTGGTCAAATAGAAACCATTTTGCTCGTCGCTGCGAGTTGATAATCTAAATCAATCTACAAAATTTATGAAGACATTTTGCCTGCGTTTTGCCAAAAGGTTATCAAAGCCTTTGAAGTCTGTTTGAGAAATAGAGGTTGTGGCTCATAACGTTATTTGCTACAAGTTATACAGGCATACAATAAGGTTCATGGACTCTACCAAAGAATGCCCATGGCGACCTTGTGGAATAATTTACCAAGTTATAAGAAGCCGTAGCGATCCTTTCAAATGACGGGCCACGGATCACACTCACCATTACCCTCCACAGGTCAACACGTCGAGATTGACCTGTTGCGTCCAACTGCACGGATGAAACAATTTCAAAGCAACACTATTCGAATAAGGGCACCTGCCATCAGCAAGCAGATAACTTGACTCTCAATCACGAGCAGCCACCATGAACCAGAGGCTTCAAGGACGAGGGGCCGGCCAGATAAGAAACATAGCAGGGGTGATGAATGATGTTGCTCGCAGGGTTAACGCTGCTGCTAGAAATCAAGCGGTGCTCCAGGCAATCGACAACATGTTCTTGTTCTTCATCATGTTATATATCACGCAAGTGTCTTATTACTTGCTCACTCAGCTCGGTTCTTCTTTGACTTGCTTTGCCTGCAACGAAACGGAGACTAGCCAGGCTCACACAACTATGCAAAAGCTGCACCCTGGTATCCCCATACAAGCCGATATCCTGGAAGTATATATCTACTAATGTAGTAGACGCCATATCTCGAGGACGAAATGCGCCAGGTCGGATTTTAAAATAGCTGGGAGTACAAACCATCTTGCAAGAGGGACTTACAGAAGGGCTCTAATCCATACATCTAGAGGGTTAGCGATGCAATTGGATGACCATGATTTTTTATCATATTGAATACGCTTGGTTCAATTATTTCTCATTGAACACACTTGGATAAACTTGTAGTTGATATGGTTGCTTCTTACGAATAAGGAAAGAAAGGTCAATACTGGAAACCAAAAGCAGCGCCGTTTTCTTCCGTTTTTTCCTTCAAAGCCCAAGCACCGTTCAGTATATTTTCGAAAATAAAATATGTATTTTTTATTAATTAATTCTTGACACCCAAGTAAATAGGTTGTCAAATCCACTGAAGCCCAAGATTACGCTCCATGAAACAGAGGCCCGCTCAAGGTCATGACATACAGCTTTTTCATCCCAACGTAGCACATCAACCGCTCCGTATTACACGTCTGTCAAGCCTTTTTTTTTTTTTTTTAATTAAGTGGCTTTTCTACCTATATTTAGAATTAAAAGTTGCGGTCTGAAGGGCATTGATCCTGGTAGAAACTGTGACGAGTCTCTACCGTTAGAGGTCTCGCGACGTATAATTCCTTTTTTTTCAGCTGCGGCTGATGCAGCCGGTGAGCGAGTGATCCCTGGACGGCGAAGGGAAGACGCAGGTCATGTTTTACAAGACGGGTTCTCTCATTACCAAACGGAAATGCGGTGACCAATGCGACAAGAGTCGGTCAGATCAAGCTGAGCAAGGATGACGTCTCGGAAGAGCAGTGTACACATCATGCATGTTCATGATAGACGAACGAGCAGGTATGGTGTTGCAAGATAAGCAACGGGGGGGGAAACTTGATTCGAAAAACGCCAAGGCTCTCCCTTCTGATAAAAAAAAATTGCAGTGGCACCAAATCGAGATGGAGGCGCCGTCGCCATTGTACAACGAACTTCGAATGAAACCACAGAGGCTGCTGTGTAATGTGACGAACAAAGTGACCGGTGTGACGGCAGCCGGGATCCCGTGAAGCAAGTGGCTCAGCAGATTCCATCGAATAGGATCACAACGGCAATCTTCCCAGGTCGAGTCTTGACCGTTTACGAAGAGGCGCCGAAACATTGAAAACGGTTTCAGCCAGTCGGAAGACGAGAGCTGGCGTCCCGTGTTCAGAGACAAGAGGAAATGAGCAGCGGCACCGGCATTGTAACACGCCTTTTTTTTTCAATGCTTGGGCAGCTCTCTTCTACACGCCCTACCTAGGTCTGTAACTCTTGTTGCCCCCATTTCACTCGAGAGCACGACAGATTGGATGACGGAGGATTCGGGGTGATAACCGGGACTGACAAGCATCCGAGCAAGACGGTGATAGCATCCAAGGCTCATGCTGATAACATAGTTTGCCACCCTGAGATGGGGGGAAACAAATGATGCTGCAGATGCAATTTAATTTGCACAAGTGCCAAGACTTGTAGCATCCGCGTGTCTGAGTCTGTGAATACTCACATGTACTGTTTGGTACGTGTCTTGTGTGAGTGCTCCCGAGTACAAGGTGACACGACAAGCTTGCACAAGGAGTCTTGGTACAGGTACCATCGCGACCTGGATGGCCCAGTCCGCAGCCTCGTACAGGTTTGGCTATTACTCGTACTGCCGGTGATGGGGAGTACGGAGCGCATGCAGATAATGCGCGTGGTGTGTGATGTCTAGTGGACTTTGTGCTTGCGGAGGCATGTCTCTGTGCGTTGTGTGTCCGTGCATGCGTCAGTGCCTGTGATGGTGATGGTGATGGTGATGATGATGGGAAAGAAAGCTACTAGGTTGATGCATGTACAGACAGCTGTACGCACATAGACGTACATTAGCATGCGGCCCTTGAGGCGGCCAGGAACACATGCTCCGTCTTGCATTGGCGACGAGCGGCCGTCAGATGGGGCTTCCTCGTGTGATTCAGCCATGGCCGTTTTTGACGCCCAAAGGGAACATGGACATGACATGACATGACATGAGCAGAACGTCGAACCAAAACAAGGTTGCGGGGAAAAGGGTCTCAAAAGTCTGCCTGACCGCGGCGTTATTGCGCACGCACTCGAGTCCCATGGCGATGGGCTTAGCCAAAGAGAAAGAACATGAGAAAAGGCAAAAAAAGAAGACACGATGGACAGGGGGGTTCTGTGGTATACTTTTCGGGGATTCCTACAGCTAAGCAGAAGGAAGGGCTTTGTTGTTGTTTGTTGTGGCTGTTGTTGTATACACGCGGCTTATAGACTACACCCTACTTGATATCTTGGGCAGGGAGACAGCCACTACAGATGCAACGGAAACGCAAGCCGGGGAATTTGGAGGCTTGAAGGATTTGAACGAGACGAGTTGAGTGAGGTGTGAGTCAAGTAACAAAATGAGGGTAGTCAGTGTTGTGGTGGTTGTAAAAGTGCTCTGTACCTAGAAAGCAGGACACATGTACATGTATAGTAAGCTGAAGATGGGAGATGTACTCTGGATGCGTATTTGAGAAATTGAGTACCAGAGAAACAGCGCCCAGCTTGTCAAAAGCAAACCCCATTCCGATTCCAAACTGTAGGGAAAAGAGGTGGATGGAGTTCTGTTGACTGCAGCTGCGAGGCTGCTTTCTTGTCGACACCCAAACGGCGGCCGGGGGGTGGGAAATGGAAACAATGCCGACAAGGGTAGCGGAGAGAAAAATGAAAATGAAACGAAAATAAGAAGAAATGCAGATGATAAAAAACATGGTGGATTTAATTTATTGTTATTTTTATTTTATTTTTTATCTGTTTTATTCGCAGAGACCAATAGCAAGATGCATCTATTCTTATATTGAGCTGCATGCGGGTGGTGTCAGACCCCACCAGCCGTTTCTCCCAAGATTGCTGTGCTGCTCAGCATCTCCATCTCCTCCTCCTCCTCTCAGCATGAAGAATGAAACCACAGGCCTTCAGCTCAGGGATTCCTCTTACGGCATGATGAGGCCAGCACTCCCCCAAACCCGAATCCTGCCCTGCAACCCTTCAAAGCGGTTTGGTTTGGCCCTCTTTCGCTCTTCTCACCGCCCCCCTCAAGGCGCTGATGCAGCCGCCATCCCGCATCCAAGGTCATCTGCCTGACAATTGCTGAGCTGGCAGACCTCCACGACCCAAGCCATTCGTCCAGCTGCAAATTACTCCGGCACCAGGCATCTGCTGCCCCCCTCCTTTTTTTCTTTTTTGGCTCTATTCCCTTTTCTCCGTCCCTTTTCTTTGTTTTTTGACTTGTTTGTGCTCTCCAAGCCTCTTTTCGCGTCCATTGCATTGCCCCATGTGCGCCTTGTGTGGTTTGTTTCTTTTTTTTTTTTTTCTCCGTGGGGCATGCGAGTTGTGTGTGAATGGAGCATCGTGTTTGTTGAGCTCTTCTCCTCACATTACAACATTGGAATGCTGAAGCTGCATGTACATACACATCGTGTGCGCATTACACGGGAGCCCTTGGTACAGCTCTTAGTACCTAGAGAACCAATGCCTTTTGTCTCGCGGACTCCCTCAGGTCATCCCCGAACCTACAGATGGGGGACGTGTGTGCCCTGTCTGATCACGGTGAGCAAGCAGGCGGCAGCTCGACATGGGCTCTCCCTACATTGTCTGTCTGGTCTGCCGTTGCGTGTCTCTCCATGTCTGTCTCTCATGCGTGCTGCCTGTCTCATGCTTCTCCCCGGATCACACTGCCGGGCGTGCCTGTACGAGTATGTGCAAGGACTGTTGCTACGCATGTACGCACATTCATGTAAGAGGTAAACGTGATGCAGGGTGTTGTGATGCTATTGCCACGAAAAACCCGTCTCCGCATCGTCTAACTCGTGCTGCATTTAATTTTTGTTTTAATTCATTTTACTTTATTCATTTTATTTTATTTTTATTCTATTTTCGTGATTTGATCTCGCCTCCTTTTCCCTCTTCTCGATCCGGTATGTATGCCCACCCAGGTGTTCAGATAGCTACCGATCAAGTACACACGCATGCGCTGCTGCACGTCCATCCACCAGACAGCTGTAGTCATTCTCTTGACAAGGTCACCATCAGGCAAATAGGATCATTGTTTTCTTTCCCCGGATAAACGAGCAGAGGGCGGATAACTAAGGAAAAGATTTTCGTCCAATTTATTTCCTTTTTGCCGAGCCACGGTTTGACATGTCTCGCAGCCCGCAGCTATACCGGCTGCAAATATGCCCGCAAATTGCCTCCTTGCGTCTGTAAAATTCCCGCCGTTAGGCTCTGATCCTTGTATTTTGTATCTTGATTGTCCATCAGGATATTCCGTAACACGTAAATCGGCACTCGTATATACACAACAAGAGGCGAAGAGCCTGAACTGCGCACATGCATGTCTATTGCCGATACGAACAAAGATCAAGAATCGTGTGATGGGTGCATGCCTTAAGCGACTAATACAGCCGTGGGAGCAGCCAACCAAAATCAAGGCAAGTCATTCAAGTCACAGGCTCTCTTTACTACCAATTAAACCGCCCAACGTGCTCAGATGGTACGTTGTGTGATTATAGCTTAGGTATTTATAATGGATGCAATTTGAGACGCATCTCTATTCGGCCCATGCCTCGCTACAGATCGACGATTGGCACTCTACTCACTCCTACCGGCAGTGCGGAGTAGCGTTCCAATAACGCGCAATATTACACGAGCAGAGCGTTGGCAATTGTCCGTCCTACAGAAAGCATCAATGGCAGCATCAAAAGGCAAAGGCACGATGCTGCGTAAAAGAGCTAACCTGTAGGGGATAGTTGCTTCAAACGGCTAGTTCTCCTCCGTACAGTGACTCACTACTATTCAATGACTACCTACAGGAATGACAATGTTAAAATTTGTCCCCTATAATTCAGTGCAAAGCCTCAAAATGATTAAAGGGATCCAAGTTTACGGAGTCCGTAGGAGATCTGGAGATGCCGTGCAAGTTTCTCTCTAACAAACTTAGCAGTCTTCCGTAGCACATTGCCGTTAGAGAACTACCACTTAACGCTGGCTGACCAACGGGCTGTTAGTGACTCATAGTACAGACAGAGGCAGTCATCGAAACCCCACCAACATCTGCAACGGATGCTCAGCCCCACCTGAGCTTTCGAGATTCAATATCGCCTCTTTGCCTCTCCGAGTGTCGATTTCAAGTCAAATAAAGATCTTCCGAGTCTTGCTTTTTGCTGTTTAATCGTCTGGAATTACACACAGCAGAGCTTTGGAGTTCGTTTTGTTTTACTTTTCCTGATTTCGGCGTTGCGGCTTTCCTTTGTGTGTACAATATCCGTCACCTCCGTGACACTTGTCCAACAATTATCAGCTCAACCATATTGGATTCTCTCGATTCGACGCCTTTAACCATGATTGCACTCAAGACACAGCCAGACGGATCGCCTCTTGATCGGAGGCAGGCCGTCACAGACACCCCCGATGCCCGGGTCGTGTCCAAGCCCGTGCCAGAAGCGCAGGTTCAGGACCCGCGCGGCTATCACATTGAACAGCTCAAGAGGAGATTCTCACCCAAAGAGTCTACGACTGCGGCAGGAGAGACATCGCTGGTATTCAAGCTTAAGCCTTCGGATCCAGATTTTCCCTTTGAGCTGCCCTACTTGGATTGCGATGTCCGCGTTCCCGAGGACTATCCGGAAGAAAGGCCGGTGCTGTTAGTCGGGAATAAGGATATCCCTAAAGGGTTCAGCATCAATGTTGAGAGGGGCTGGGATAAGCTCGCTGAGGAGAAGAAGGGCTCGACTCTTTTGGCACTGGTCTATGCTTTGGACAGGAATCTGGAACGATTCTTGTCGGAGCAGAAAGTGGAAACGATCAAACTAGTATCGTTCAAAGACACGAGACATCTCGACCAAGCAGCGAAACAGAAACAGTCGGCTGCTATCGAGTCTCCTATCGTGGAAGCACAGGTAGCTCCCAGCCCCCCTCCCAGACGATATATCCCGGAACCATCGTACACCAGAGAACAGATTGCCGAGGCAAAAGCAAGGCGAGCTCAGGAGATTCGACAACTCGAGGCGAGAATGGGAAGGATGCCTCAGTACCGCCGTTCTGCTGATGGTGTCATTTTCACGCTGCCGCTCGAGCCAAAACGTCGTGGCGAGCTCCCTTCTGGTTTACACTCGGTCAACAGCATTCATCTAATCATTCCGCTTTTATATCCGCTACAGCAGCTGCGCGTGCAGCTGAATGAAGCCAACGCCGATGATGCGGAACCCATTGAAGACCTCTTTGCAGAAAAGGTTCTGGAGCAGAAGAACATGACACTCATGAGCCACGTCAATTATCTAGCCCAGAACCTCCATAATCTTGCAAAGCAGGCGCATGGGCTAGCATTAAAGGCTGAAAAGGAGCAGGCAGCAGCGGCGGCGGCAGCAGCGATACAGGAGCAGCAATCGCAGTCACAAAACAACGGAGAGGTTTCTGCTAGCTCATCGCAGCCTCTTATCAAAGGGAAGGGTCATATTCAGGTCATTCCTCGACCTCCTGAATGGAACGTTGGCCATGAGGGAGACGAATCAGAAGAAGATAGCTACGAAGACTCGGATGAAGACGGCGGGGCAGTGTTGGGAAATGACGACGACGTCGCGGCAGTACCATCGTCCAGTGAGGCGGTTGAACACGGCACCATGATTTCGTTTCCAAACATTGAACTTCACAGCGTCGAACTTTTACAGATATCGATTCTGAGTCTAAGCGTCAAGTGCGAGAGATGCAAGACGCTAAATGACATGACCGGCCTCAAGCCTGGAGTTGAAAAGACGTCGAGTTGCAAGAAATGCGCGACGCCTCTCGCTGCCAAATTCAACCAACAGCTTGTTCATGAGAATTCGGCAAGGGCTGGATTCATTGATCTCTCAGGAGGCAAAGTGGCAGATATGCTGCCAAGCACCTTTGTACCTACGTGCGCCAAGTGCTCGATGCCAAGCCAAGGGCTCGTTTCTGTAAGAGGCGAGACCACGACGAATGTCTGCCGAGACTGTCACAGCAAATTCACCTTTAAAATTCCCGAAGTCAAGTTCCTCTTTATCTCTCCTGGATCGCTTCCCCCGCCTTCTTCAGCCGGCCTTCGCCGGAAGCAAGAGAAGCTTGGACTACATGCAGGCGAACAACTCCCAGACAGGGGTACTTGCTCCCACTACCGTAAGTCTTACCGTTGGTTCCGTTTCTCATGCTGCAATCGTGTGCACAAGTGCGACAAGTGCCACGACCAGGCTGAGGATCATATCAACGAGTGGGCAAACAGGATGATCTGCGGTTTCTGCAGCCGTGAGCAAAACTACGCCGTCGAAGCGTGTCGCTTCTGCGGTCGTAGCGTCATTGGTAGGAGAGCCAAGGGATTCTGGGAGGGTGGTAAAGGAAACAGAGATAAGACGACAATGAGAAAGAATGACTCGAGGAAGTACAAGAGGATTGGGGGTACTGTGGCAAAGAAGGATTGATAATGCAGATTAAGGGGCCGCCTTATTTGGAGAGAGTGTGTAGGGTATCACTACAAATGCTCAATTAGCTATCCAATACATGAAGGTGATTCTCTGAATTAGTGCGACTTCGTTGTTACGTGTAGAATCTTCGAGATGCTAGATGATTGATTCGACCAGGCGCGTGCTTTCAGTGAACAAGGCAATACCCCATGGGGAGGAGTTGAGCCAACGCATCTTACACATCGCAATCGAGGAGGACAGCCAGAAGCGTGCCAATGGTAGGTCAAGCATAAATTTGATAATCTCAACCATGCACGACCATCCAGATATGGGAAAACCACACATACCATCCGAGACAGGGAGAGACAACGGTCCGCGTTGTCAGTGAGATCCGTGATCCATTACGTATGCGATCCTGATTCCACGTACCGAGACGGAGAGAGCAAGGGAACGAAGAAATGCATTGGAGCGGCTATTATTGACGAATAATAAAGATAAAAAAAAATTAAACAATTAAATAAAATATACTCGTACCGGCTAAATGCAACGGAAACCCCAAATCGGGATTGGGAATGTGACAGCTCGCAAACTCCCCCCAAACGACATCTACCCGCCATGCTACTGGCGCAATCTAAATCTAGCATCCATCGAACCCTTTTTCGAGAGAACCGTGTTCGTCTTTGCTCTCTACGTCTTCCCTTGCCCGTTCGCAATCTCGAATGGGGGAGGGGGTGGGATGTAGGTTGGGGGTCGTTTTGGGGGGGAAAAGCAAAACTGCTTTGGGGGAGGGGGCGTACGAGTTGCGAGCTCGTCCTTTTTTCTTCTGCTTTCCGTCGTTACGCGGCCCTCCGTCTTACCTGTTCCATGTGTCCCTGCTGATCCCGCGACAAACCCGGGAGGCCCCGTGGGAGGCAGGAACAGAGTGTCATGGGGGAGCTTTTGAGCTGCGCACGTTGATTCTCCATGGGGAACCATGATCCTCCCATTCTCAGTTTAATAAGGGGGGGAGGGACAAGACGATGAGAGTCCGGGCAGATCAGGCTGTGTGGAGGGCCAATGTGACGAACAGGGCCGAATGGGGAATTCGGATTGCAAAACGCGACTGGGTTCGGTTTGGCCGTCTTTCTTCGGGATTCTGGAGATGGTGTTGTGAAAAGGTCTATCAAGTACAAGATACTTGTTGGCAGCCGTTGAAGTCAGACGAGGCTGTGCTGGTCATTGGTGGCTGGGGTTTTTCCGACAGCGGCCACGTGAGGAGCGCCTTGTCGAGGCTCACGTACTCGGTACATGTGCCATGGGAGAAAACGGAGAATCAAACACAAATCACAGCCTCTCAACTCCGTATCGACATGGGCTGCTGACAACTCCTCCCCTCTCGCCGACTAACTCGTATGCTCGCCGACTACTGTACGCTCTACCCTGTCACGCAAACGGTCAGTGAGGGGGGATCTGCGCGCCCGTTTCTACGGCATTTCACACAGCTATACGAGTACCCCGTGCATACACGTCTGGACAAAATAAACAGCACATGTCAAGCTTTCTGGCCGAGCGGGCCTAAAGGCACGTTTCATGCGTTGTACCCATTTCAACACGTTGTTCACGATGGCGACAGCCGATGCTGATTCGTTCGAAATGGCTGGGCCTAGGCGGCTTTCGTGAGGATCTTCGTTCCCCCGCAAAATGGCCGAACCCCCCCTTCTTGTTAGGGAACTCGTATCTTTTTGGGTCAAATCTGAACGGCGACTGAAGGACCCTGGGGGGAAGATCATTTGAGATTGTGTGTTTCGTGTCTCTTACTGGCACACGTGTAGTTACAACTGTGTCCATCATAGAGGTGAGTTCCGAGGAATCGTCAAATCCCACCACTGGCAGTTGTCGAGACACTCATGCATGTTCCAGATGCGGACTGGCAAATCGATTCTAGAAGATCAACAGAAGGCGGTAAAGTGGTATTAGATGCAGCTTGGCTTTCCTGATGGAGCATCTCCCGCTAGTGCCATGCTTATCTGCATTGGCGGTTTTGTTATACTAGTCGGACGGAGTAGTGAGGCCGAGATGCTCACGAAGCTAGACGTCCCGCTGTCATCCCATGTTATCATGGACCTCCCGGTATTTCTCATCACGAAGAAAAAACACCGACAATGGTCGGTGAGCATGGAATCAGTGGCGTGGCTGCATGTCCCTGGCCAGTTGTTTCCAAATCAGCTATGCGTCTCAATGCTCTTGGTTTGGCTGATATCGTGTTCACCTTTATTCAGGCGTTTACTGACCAAGGGTCTCTCGTATTGAGCAGTCTGAACTACAGCTGCACGTTTCAACCGTCGGCATCTACATGATCCTCCTCAGCCGGAAATATAACCTCTCACCTGCACACGCAAGAGTCTACATGAACCTACGAAGTACTTGCAGGTGTCCACAGGGTTTTGGGCGAATCACATCTCTGAATGAAGGAATGGTTGCATTGAGTGCAGAGAACTGCCGGGCCATCAAAGTCGTGACACGTCGTACTGCTGTGGGTGTCATATCATAAAATGATTACCACTCATACGTTGTGTGATTGTCAACAACTCACTAAACATCATCGTGAGGAGCCACGCCTTTCCTCATGAAGCCCAATCAGATCCAAGCTACATCACTGCTTATGCCTTTTATGCATGCCTATTAGGGCAGAGACTACTTTGGATTACACTTCATCATGGTGGCGCCCTCTCGGTATCTGCTCGCTATTGGACAATGGGAGGAGTACTGCAACATTCAGATGGGGCCCCCAGCCAAGACATCCACTTGGAGGGCGATCAAAGGGGTAAACCCATTCGAATCTCATCAGCCTTGTTGCCCTGCTCAAGTGATCTGCCGCAGCAGAACTATGGTCCGCAGCTGTCAGAAGCAGAAGCTATCCGCTTTACCAGGCTCCCCCATCCCTGTGTCCAATGAGAAGGCTCATCGACATCCGGTGCGGCTCGGCGACGCATGGCTCACCAAGCTATCCTACCGCTCAACACGCCTCCCCGTGGGCGCTTTCATTTCCTATTTCTGTTCTATACTCGGGTTTCCTGACCTGGGGAAGTGCGTCAGAGAGCCGAATATGGGAAATGAAGCAATTCTATGTTTGTTTGAGAGCCCAAATCGGACAGCTTCGCAAACGGGAGTCGAATACGAAACGGAGCCAAAACGCTCGAATAAGCATTTGCAGTCTCATGTAACCGAAGAATCGCACTACGCCTCCTAATGCAAATCGCACAGCTTGCACATTGTTCCATACAATCCTGGCAACGAGTTCATATCGGCGCTCTGCCAGCCAATGGCAGAAGCCAGATATCAGCAACATCCTCTTCCGTCAACGAGCTAGTATCGATCTGATTTCCACGTAACGTTAAATTCCACATATGGAGGACGGAGCCCACCCTCCGTACAGTCAGATCGCTGCATAGTCACAGGGCCATCAAGGGCAAGATTCGGACATGGGGTCGGGCCCTGGCCGCCGGATGCCTTCCGGTGTGCTAAAAGGAGGCACTTTTGAAAAACGTGGTCGTCACTCCAGGGTCTGTTGCTCGGCCCTTGGCTGCAGATTTTGGCGATCCACTGGGATTTCCTTAATTTTATTCCGCGGGCATATTATTTCGAGATTTATTTTTTTATTCTTTGTTGGTTACGATATTTTCCCATGTGGCCTTGAAGGATTCTCGATACCGTCGGCGAATTATTCTCCTCCTACCGCATTCATCATCTTCTCGGTTCAAAACGGAGTGCTTCCCCCCCAAGAAGCAGCCATGACCGTTTATCGACTTGCAAAATGCTCCGTAATAAATCGAGTTTGGCAGCAAGCCTCGCGGCTGTGGCGTTTTGGCTTGAAGATCATCATCCAACGATAAGCATTGCCGCGGCTTCGCGGATTGTCGGCGAATTGAACTACATACGACACCAACATTACAGACTTATCGCCAAAACAATACCGATGCCATCAAAAACGCCACTCAGCACTTTGGCGTTGGCTCTGATATTAATTCATCGGAGACGGTCCGAAACGGTGGGCACTGTTTCCGGGGCATTCGGCCGGGATTGAAATGGACAAGATAAAATAAAATAAAAATAAAAAATACTGAGTTGTTTTTTATTTTTATTTTATTTACCAAAAATGTCAATGGGTCGCGAGTTATCCCTGGCAGTGGGCTTTCACACGTCTACCCTTGCAAGCATTTGAAATTCTGCAATGACAAAGAACTGAGCCCCAGTTCGCTCGGCCCTGTTATGTCTGCTTTTATGGGCCGCAGAAGGACCTGCTTAGCGCGTTCGGAATCGCCGCTGAGTGTTTTCTTTCACATGGCAAATCATTCCCTTCAGGTTCTGTTTCTTATCAGTATGCTTGCTGTTTGTTGCGCATCGGAAGAGGCTCCAAAAGCAGGATTTTGCTGGCGACGACGTGATGCGGAATCGTACCAGAAACACGAGACATACAGAGTGGCGGATCACCGGTCCATGAGCATCCCACGTTCTGAGAGTACCGTGTTGGCGATAACTTGGACCGGGCTGATTCGCGGAACCGGATCCGGAAGATGACTTGACATTCTAGTCACGGCAAAGTTCGGCTTCGTCTCACGGCAGTCGATTATACTGCCAGTATTCTCATGTGCCATTCTGGTATTTTGCGTGGACCGGGGTGTGCCTCAGAGGAGCCAGGCGGGTCAAACCATGTTGGGCCCTGGGATTCGAGAAAAGTTCTATTATGCAATGCCCCGGGCGACACTTAAGCGAGGGCATCTGCCTTCGATTCGAAGGCTTGTCCATCATGTGAACAGTCATCTCCTTGCCCGTCGAGTAGCTCTGCCATTCATCAGGCCCCTATTGCCATTCAGCCATGAAGTCGGATATTCTGCCAGGGGAGGTTTCTAAAAGGAGAATATTCTTTTTTATCTCGTGAGACGGTCGCGATAATGAGAATGCAGGGGGGCGGAACGGGGGATGCTTGAAGATTTTTCTTCTTCTTTGTATGCATGTACATACATCGGTCCGACCAGATCTGACCTCGGTCTGTGCTCACCTGGGACCCGTCGCTCTCTACTTTTTGTCTCCTAAGCCGCGAGGGGATTGGCTTGATCGTCTGCAATGGCGGGTCGGTGAGAGAGTCAGTTGCCGGATCGTCGAGTGCAAGTGTTTGAGTTTGTCGGCATGTGAATCGTCTCGAGAATTGATCTTCATGTTTGAAACGTGCTACGGATGGCGTCTCGTGCTTGCAGAAGGCGATGTTCTTCTCCATTGAGCTGTTTCTACTCCAGGCAGGTAGGAGAGTACCGCCGGGTAGGCTGTCTCCCGACCAACCATCCATATTGGAGGTTGCGAATGAGAGTTACACTTCAGCCCATGTGTTATTCTATGTAATATGGGTACTTGTCATGCAACGTTTGATGGTGAAGCCAAATCCTATATCGGACGAACCTAACAAGTGCCGAAACTCGGCTTCTTAGGTGGAATGATCAGATATTCCAAGGCTATCGCAAAGTAGTAGGAGAAGGTGATTACAGCTCTCTACCAACATCAAAGAGGCAAAGGTGACTTTCAAAGTCACACGTCTTTCGATGTGGCGACGATAGCAGAAGAAGTAGAGATCATGTCAACGAGTTCGACGATGTGCATAGGGCAGCGTTGCAGTAGATTGGCGACTTACATCATGAGCATGGGCACCACCTCAGAGTGGCTCGACGAAGACGCATCTTGGCACCACGATGGTGCATGGTAGGTAGTATTACCACGCTGCCGGTTTTTGTGTTGCACAAACCCATAACATTGAGCATTGATAGGCGTCATAACCTGGGGAAACCTGGTTCACAATGTGTGAATGTTGAAAGCGAAACTGTCAAATGTTTGGATGAGGATGAAAGATATGATTGATGAGTGTTATGGTGCTTTGAACTCTCCCGAGGCGCTATTAGCCCGAAGGAGATGAGAGTTGCTGCCAGCACTAATCAAAAGCTGCGACTTCAACAAGCTCTCAGTTGACACAACTAAAAGTATTCGAGAGACTTACATGAGTCTCTGGGCTGCAAACTCACCGTCAGCTCGATTTCGACATCAGTTGCCACATTCCCTTCATCATCAGTGGGATGAATACGTTCTATCCAAGTTGAAGAGATGCTATAGAGCAGGATCAGACCGTTATCTCTACGAGATACGGACTCGGCAGTGCCATAACGGTACGTGTGTTACGGAAAGGACGCCCTCTACTGGTGAGAGTTTGTCATCACCTCAGCCTTGTTTGTGGAATCACGCCCGTACCGACGACGAGCTTCAACATCATGGTCATCACGAATGCTACCTTCCACCTCCATCACGAACCGTCGTCACCAAACGTGTGTGCACAAGAGCGTCATCCCCATGGGTGAGCAGAGGGGAACCCCCACACCCGGAATCCAAGCCCATGGTTACCCGTTACCCAATCCGTGACACGGGATACATCGTCTGCAGCATCTTGGCGTTTGGTGAGCATCTGAGATGTGACGGTCATCTAAGAACCATGCCAGCATGTATCCAAGGAGAAATACCAAGGACCATTGCACATCGGAGTGGTCACGGACCCTTGTCGATAGCCCTCTCTCACCGCAGGCTCCTCCATGCCTCTCCCACGCCCCGGCTAAAGTCTTTGCACGTATTTTATACGGGCCGGCCCTCGCGTGCTAGGGGTAGGGGATCGCATTTATCCTCTACCTAAAAAGAAGGTGGACTGGCTTACAGGCCACCAAAAACAAGCCCTTTTGCAAGAAGCGTGATCGAAGATCACCCTTTGATGAATCTGATGGCACAAACGGTAATCGTGGTCAGCAAATACTCCGTCATTTGCCACTACAGGAAGCACGTCCGTCCGGATGGAGTAATTGCAGCAGCAACAGTGTTTTAACGTTACAGGGTCGTTACGAGCTTTTTTTCTTTTCTGTCCGAACTGGCCCCCACGTGAGGTTTTCCTTCTACTTTCTGCATAGAATGGGATTGCCGGCGGACAATTTGATCAGGCCGCGGGTGGGGGATGATTTTCCATCGTGGACACCGACGGACGACTCGGTCTGATGGGGAGAATGAGCTGACCTTTTCGTTTTTGCCTCGAGGCGCCCATTGATTTGTCCTGCTTACGAGATTTCAAGGTGCGAATAAGGGGGCTATCTGCAACGCGACTGAAAAGCACGTGTCTTGCATCATTGGGCATCGATGCGGCGTCGCTGGAACGCAAGTCCAGAAATGCAGGAGAAGCATTTTGCAACGAAGGGGTGGGAATAAGCCCTCTGTGGCCTGCTGCAACAACGAAGCAAAGCAGGGTTACTGTTGCTGACGCCTACAGGATTCGGCGTCTGCGATGATGCATGCATACTCTCTGATGCACATACGAGTAGACATACACATAGGGAGCGCCGATGCCGGAACGCTGTTCACAACTGCTATTTGAAATTGTCATCCAGTTACATTCTTGTTGCTGGGGCAAGCCGTATGAGATCATGCATCGTTTGGCTGGGATTCGCAACTGTCCACGTGGGATGATGTTGCTTTGAATAAGATTATTTTTGGCCCGGACAAGGCTTCCCTTTATCTCTTGTTTCGGGTGCTTCGCCCATGGTGGCGGCGTGATATTATTCCGGCAGGCAAGAGAGGGCGAGATGTCATATGCTCGTCGGGAAGAACTAGCGAATCTCCCGAACGAGGATGATCGACTCATGGGCCTTGCAATGCCGAGCGCATCCCGCAGCTCCTGCTTACTACAGTACAGCATCTTCCTTCTATCCGTAACCCATCCAATCTACATGTGAACAGGCCACAAGCACGTACCTACAAGCGACAATGTGTGTGTGCTGCTGGCCCCTCCCCCATGCTTATCCCCCCAAGCAGGCCGAGGCGCAGGATTACATATGATGAGAGAGGGCCATGGCTGGCATCAGCCATCCCGCGGGCTGGGAAAGATGACCGGCCGGGGGTGGGAAGGGGGAGACGGGGATGGGGCCGGGCCGCTTCGGGATTTACGACCTCCACCCCTGCCGGGGCGTATAGGGCCCGCTTCCGGGATGCAGATGATGAGCCGCTATCGAATTCCTGCTGGCTGGTGCCTGAAGGGTGAGCGACGGTTAGGAATCTCCGGGTTGCCGTGATGGGCTTGTCTGGCATGGGGGTTACATATCCGTGGGTTATTGCCTCGCCGCGTAGTTTCCCGGGGTTGTGGTATAGGTGAACTGTGGGAGACGTGGGATGAGATTG